TACCTTGCATAGAAAGAACACATCACTCAAAATTCAAACACTTTTGCATACATCGAACTTCTTTGGGCGCATGCAAGAATTATTGCAGGGAATGTTACTTGAATAGAAAATGGAATAGAGTAATTTAAATGTGACCTCTGAAACCCACTATTAAATACCAGCCAATCTTAGAATAGATAGAATCATGAAAATGGCTTTTTCTAAGTGACCCGCGTATGTGTAAGATATTCACAGGTGTTCGGCTTTTATTTAACTAAGAGCGACAAGCTGAATTTGTTTTATTCTTTACTAACCAAAACCAAGTGAAGACACTGAGATATAGTCTGAAATATGTCGGTAAACAAACTAGTAGGAATATTTATAGGAATAAATCTTATGGTAGTATAAATAAACTTCGGAACGAGAAAACAGCCTTCAGAAATTTTTAGATCTATTTCCACTAACCGTAACTTCGGCATCTATAGCGTTAACACTTGGCGATGAGGACTTCAAGTATAAAGAAAGTAACCTACTCAATCCCTGATCGATGTAGATATGCTACCATTACTGGCATGACCTGACAATTGTCATGCTGGCAAATGAAAGCCTAGGCACAAGAAAATGATTTTGACCCCTTTTATTTGAACAAAATGTTTGGAACATTGACAACTAAAGAAAACTCTGCAAGATAATTTGGCAGGATTTAATCTTCACTGTCACGTCCCGGTCTGAATATTTGGCCGTTTGTGTTTATTACCAAGATACAGCCTGGGATCATGTCTCATCTTCGCTCTTACTTCTGGCCCAGTGTAGGATTGTCTCATTTACGCAGACCGCCTTAGCCGTTTCCTCGACACACAAAGGCACTGTATCACTGCAACAGTCTATGGCACAGTGACAATATCCAGCTGCAGCAGTCTGTGGCACAGTGACAATATCCAGCTGCAGCAGTCTGTGGCACAGTGACAATATCCAGCTGCAGCAACAGCCACGTGCAAGAACCAAGTGCGGAGCAGCAGCAGCACGTCCACCTCACACCAAGCAGCAGACGCCACTGTTGTGCCTCTGATGAAGATTAAGCCACCCAAAAGGTGGCACGGGCATGAATAGCCCGTAAGTGGTGGCCCTTTTGAGCTTTACCAGTATCAATAGATGATACTGGAGATCTGTGGAGGTGCGACTGCACCCTGCGTGACGGGACATGTCTCCCGTCTGTAGTGCCTCTTGTCTGCCTTCTTTTATATCTGTCTTAATTACCGGAGACGGTTGGCAACCTTCCCTGTGTTCATCTTCAGAGGTGACTGGAGAGGTCCAACATGATCTGTCGCAATGTTATAATTCTGCCAGACTCCAGTAACGCTGCAATCATGCAGCTGACCTGTAAGTACAGAAATATATTAATTATGCGTCGAGCAAAACTGTAAACCATTGTACACACAAAGCGCTGCTTGTCCATATGAACTGAGGCCCAACAAAATTTTAGAGAAATTTGTCATTTAGTAAATTTTAGTCCAGCAGGATGACCATATTTAAAGTTTAATGCATATGTATTTCCATAATTTATAAGATAAACTAATAAAGTAAACTCGCGTCTAGCGATGACTTTATCGAAGTCTTCCTTATCCTCTATACTAACTAAAAGGGTTTAGCTGGAAGCTTCTGCCAAGATAAGCAGTAAGAGTTGGCTCTATTCCAGCTGTAGGCATTAGTATTCACTCACCACGAGAAATGGCCACTGCATTACACATGGAAAGCGGAGGTTTTTCTGATGGAGGGGGAAGACATTTGTGCAGCGCGTTCCGCGGGCTCTGTGTGCGCAGCGCAACGGGGGCCTAGATAAAGGGGCAGGAGAAGGCATGCACACTCCTGCTCCAGACACGCTCCGCAAGTTAAAAAGAACCCACCCTCCTCCCCTTCCTGGGTGCAGTCAGCTATGATGCAGCCCTATGCCTAGCGCACTTTCCTGATGGTCTAAATGGGGGTGCAGCGCCGGCCCCTAAGTGTTACGCTGTCCGCAGCTACTTACCCTCACTTGTACGAGTAATGTTAACTTTGCCCTTTGTGTATTCTGCATTTACTGGTTAATTTACGAATTTACATTATGTATTGGAATGGGGCATTATCCGTCACGTGTTAGGACAATATATACTTTTCTAAATGCACTAATTCAAGGAAAAATGTTAGACATTTGCCTTACTTTTACTCAGATAATAACTATTCAGTGTTCTGCGGATCTAGATTTAGTTAATTCCCGGCTATAAGCATATGTATTAAATTGCAGTTATAGTACTGTTATAAATGTCCGTTACGCAGTTGTAAAATATACAAGTTATAGCCGCTTCATGAACAGGGTCTGCAGAAAATATTTATTGTACTAATAATTAGGCCCCCATGCTGTCTTTTTTCCCTCCATGATCAGAAAATGGTTTCTTACAGCCCTAGTTTAATGCATCTAAATCTAAACTATTCTAAATTTACTAAAAGGCGACAATAATAGTTTGATTCTTTGTCCCCTTAACACAAGACCATGTTGAGGACTCAACCCTGCAGCCTGGATACTCTAAGCACATTACTTTGATTTAGAATAACCAAATACAACCAACATTTTACTTACCATGTTACCAGGTGTTCCACAGGAGGGAGTGTAGAGTTTGCTGTAGTCTAAAGCCTAGACAAGCTGGGGAACCTTACATACAGGAAGGGGTTGGAAGGACAAGGGTGCCGCTTAAAGACTGACCCGTTTTAAGTAACACGGAACTGGAAAGAAACGTTTGAAACTGGTTAGCGTTTTTGGACAACTGTCTAGTCATTTTACCTGAAGGAGGACTTCTGGTACGGAGAGAAGAGACTAGTGCAGACAACTGGTTCTGCTCCTGAGAGTGAAGGAACACCAGTAAACCGTCTGGGGTCATGTAGTGGTCCCAGACTACACCCACACCAGTATTTAAACCATCAACATTCTGAAATTAGGAAAGTAATACCAATTTAAGACGGAGTGCATTTAGACTTGCCCCAGCGGCAAGAACATTGTTAATAAGGCAAACGTAAAAATTATATATTTAAGATTTACCGTATTTTGTAATTAATGCTACACCTTTGTAGTAACCGTTTGACTTAAGTCATTTCACCTTTTTTAACACTAGTAATAGCTTACGAACTGTCTACACTTTACAGAATATGTGACAACATTGTCCTTAAAAGAATCTGGACTACTTGCATGGATTAAATGTTCATCAGTCAAGTACAACTCTTAACTGTTGAGGCAACACACTGTGGGGGAAGTGTCTGGAGACTAACATATGAATGTTACTCAAGACGCGCTGGTCAACCTTCTGCATAACTCCCCCCCCCCTCCCCCCGGGACGCCGATAGTTTCACCATTAGGCACCGGTAGTTAACTATCGTTCAGTTGCAATGGTCAGGACGAATTTTTCGTTAAACTTTTACATTATAACTATTTACATAACTACACAAATTATGAACGATATAGGGAAGTCATGTAAGGTCGGTAGCAGACGTTAAATCGACGTTATTGCAACGTTAAATTGACGGAATCGACGGTATTGCAACGATAAATCGACGGTATTACAACGGTAAATCGACGCTATTTCAACGATAAATCGACGGTATTACAACGGTAAATCGACGCTATTGCAACGTTAAATCGACGCAATTGCCACCATAAATCGATTGTACTGTAATATTGATCAATTTCAAATAGTCGATTTTACGTTGCAGTATCGTCGATTCAACGTTAATACCTTTGCTCTAACGTTGAATAAACCTTTGAAATTGTCTTTGTTTCATTCTTTCAATATTTTAGATTTAACGTAGAAATATCGTCGATTGAACATTGCAAAAAGAGTAGATATAACGTTGAAATAGTGTTGATTTGACGTTCCAATTGCGTAGATTTAATCATGTCCATCGATGCAATAGCGTCGAGTATGGTAGATATCCAGCGGTGCCTCCAGATATCTGGAAATACCTCCAGCTATATCCTCTAGATATCCCCATATATATCTCATTTTATATATAATGCAAAATACAATCTTTTACCTTATCCGTCAAGCTCGGTCTACAATTATCCAAAGACGAAACAATCTCTGCAGGTTATATGAAACAGTTTCAATCACTATTCCAAAGCATTTTTTTTTATCTTTAGAAGTGGTGCTGTAACATACAAACCACAAAGACAAGGTGATTAAACAATACGGGACAAACATCAGTGTTTTAATGTATATAACTGCTTTTGAGGATTTAGATATTTGTATTTAACGGGGCTAATTAAATAATGTAATTATGTCAACGCTATAAACAAATTAAGTGATTATGGTATGTTTTTATAATTTAAATAATATACAGTACAATACCTTGCATAGAAAGAACACATCACTCAAAATTCAAACACTTTTGCATACATCGAACTTCTTTGGGCGCATGCAAGAATTATTGCAGGGAATGTTACTTGAATAGAAAATGGAATAGAGTAATTTAAATGTGACCTCTGAAACCCACTATTAAATACCAGCCAATCTTAGAATAGATAGAATCATGAAAATGGCTTTTTCTAAGTGACCCGCGTATGTGTAAGATATTCACAGGTGTTCGGCTTTTATTTAACTAAGAGCGACAAGCTGAATTTGTTTTATTCTTTACTAACCAAAACCAAGTGAAGACACTGAGATATAGTCTGAAATATGTCGGTAAACAAACTAGTAGGAATATTTATAGGAATAAATCTTATGGTAGTATAAATAAACTTCGGAACGAGAAAACAGCCTTCAGAAATTTTTAGATCTATTTCCACTAACCGTAACTTCGGCATCTATAGCGTTAACACTTGGCGATGAGGACTTCAAGTATAAAGAAAGTAACCTACTCAATCCCTGATCGATGTAGATATGCTACCATTACTGGCATGACCTGACAATTGTCATGCTGGCAAATGAAAGCCTAGGCACAAGAAAATGATTTTGACCCCTTTTATTTGAACAAAATGTTTGGAACATTGACAACTAAAGAAAACTCTGCAAGATAATTTGGCAGGATTTAATCTTCACTGTCACGTCCCGGTCTGAATATTTGGCCGTTTGTGTTTATTACCAAGATACAGCCTGGGATCATGTCTCATCTTCGCTCTTACTTCTGGCCCAGTGTAGGATTGTCTCATTTACGCAGACCGCCTTAGCCGTTTCCTCGACACACAAAGGCACTGTATCACTGCAACAGTCTATGGCACAGTGACAATATCCAGCTGCAGCAGTCTGTGGCACAGTGACAATATCCAGCTGCAGCAGTCTGTGGCACAGTGACAATATCCAGCTGCAGCAACAGCCACGTGCAAGAACCAAGTGCGGAGCAGCAGCAGCACGTCCACCTCACACCAAGCAGCAGACGCCACTGTTGTGCCTCTGATGAAGATTAAGCCACCCAAAAGGTGGCACGGGCATGAATAGCCCGTAAGTGGTGGCCCTTTTGAGCTTTACCAGTATCAATAGATGATACTGGAGATCTGTGGAGGTGCGACTGCACCCTGCGTGACGGGACATGTCTCCCGTCTGTAGTGCCTCTTGTCTGCCTTCTTTTATATCTGTCTTAATTACCGGAGACGGTTGGCAACCTTCCCTGTGTTCATCTTCAGAGGTGACTGGAGAGGTCCAACATGATCTGTCGCAATGTTATAATTCTGCCAGACTCCAGTAACGCTGCAATCATGCAGCTGACCTGTAAGTACAGAAATATATTAATTATGCGTCGAGCAAAACTGTAAACCATTGTACACACAAAGCGCTGCTTGTCCATATGAACTGAGGCCCAACAAAATTTTAGAGAAATTTGTCATTTAGTAAATTTTAGTCCAGCAGGATGACCATATTTAAAGTTTAATGCATATGTATTTCCATAATTTATAAGATAAACTAATAAAGTAAACTCGCGTCTAGCGATGACTTTATCGAAGTCTTCCTTATCCTCTATACTAACTAAAAGGGTTTAGCTGGAAGCTTCTGCCAAGATAAGCAGTAAGAGTTGGCTCTATTCCAGCTGTAGGCATTAGTATTCACTCACCACGAGAAATGGCCACTGCATTACACATGGAAAGCGGAGGTTTTTCTGATGGAGGGGGAAGACATTTGTGCAGCGCGTTCCGCGGGCTCTGTGTGCGCAGCGCAACGGGGGCCTAGATAAAGGGGCAGGAGAAGGCATGCACACTCCTGCTCCAGACACGCTCCGCAAGTTAAAAAGAACCCACCCTCCTCCCCTTCCTGGGTGCAGTCAGCTATGATGCAGCCCTATGCCTAGCGCACTTTCCTGATGGTCTAAATGGGGGTGCAGCGCCGGCCCCTAAGTGTTACGCTGTCCGCAGCTACTTACCCTCACTTGTACGAGTAATGTTAACTTTGCCCTTTGTGTATTCTGCATTTACTGGTTAATTTACGAATTTACATTATGTATTGGAATGGGGCATTATCCGTCACGTGTTAGGACAATATATACTTTTCTAAATGCACTAATTCAAGGAAAAATGTTAGACATTTGCCTTACTTTTACTCAGATAATAACTATTCAGTGTTCTGCGGATCTAGATTTAGTTAATTCCCGGCTATAAGCATATGTATTAAATTGCAGTTATAGTACTGTTATAAATGTCCGTTACGCAGTTGTAAAATATACAAGTTATAGCCGCTTCATGAACAGGGTCTGCAGAAAATATTTATTGTACTAATAATTAGGCCCCCATGCTGTCTTTTTTCCCTCCATGATCAGAAAATGGTTTCTTACAGCCCTAGTTTAATGCATCTAAATCTAAACTATTCTAAATTTACTAAAAGGCGACAATAATAGTTTGATTCTTTGTCCCCTTAACACAAGACCATGTTGAGGACTCAACCCTGCAGCCTGGATACTCTAAGCACATTACTTTGATTTAGAATAACCAAATACAACCAACATTTTACTTACCATGTTACCAGGTGTTCCACAGGAGGGAGTGTAGAGTTTGCTGTAGTCTAAAGCCTAGACAAGCTGGGGAACCTTACATACAGGAAGGGGTTGGAAGGACAAGGGTGCCGCTTAAAGACTGACCCGTTTTAAGTAACACGGAACTGGAAAGAAACGTTTGAAACTGGTTAGCGTTTTTGGACAACTGTCTAGTCATTTTACCTGAAGGAGGACTTCTGGTACGGAGAGAAGAGACTAGTGCAGACAACTGGTTCTGCTCCTGAGAGTGAAGGAACACCAGTAAACCGTCTGGGGTCATGTAGTGGTCCCAGACTACACCCACACCAGTATTTAAACCATCAACATTCTGAAATTAGGAAAGTAATACCAATTTAAGACGGAGTGCATTTAGACTTGCCCCAGCGGCAAGAACATTGTTAATAAGGCAAACGTAAAAATTATATATTTAAGATTTACCGTATTTTGTAATTAATGCTACACCTTTGTAGTAACCGTTTGACTTAAGTCATTTCACCTTTTTTAACACTAGTAATAGCTTACGAACTGTCTACACTTTACAGAATATGTGACAACATTGTCCTTAAAAGAATCTGGACTACTTGCATGGATTAAATGTTCATCAGTCAAGTACAACTCTTAACTGTTGAGGCAACACACTGTGGGGGGAAGTGTCTGGAGACTAACATATGAATGTTACTCAAGACGCGCTGGTCAACCTTCTGCATAACTCCCCCCCCCCTCCCCCCGGGACGCCGATAGTTTCACCATTAGGCACCGGTAGTTAACTATCGTTCAGTTGCAATGGTCAGGACGAATTTTTCGTTAAACTTTTACATTATAACTATTTACATAACTACACAAATTATGAACGATATAGTCTACTGAAATACTACAAGGCAATTTTACAATATATACTATAGTAATTCATATAATTAGTGTTTATGAACAAAATTAACACCAGGGATGGACATCCTAAAAAATTATGATAGCCTAGTTCATTGTAACAATTCTAGTTACGAATTAGAAGAATTACATTACTAGGCTGCTAAATTTTAGTCATTACAATATTTCAAATTTAGTTTTTAATTTGTGGTTTCGAACTAGTAACACTATTGTACACTTACAGAAATATGTAATATGTATAACCCAGTTTTTAATGATCGCGGCGAGAGGTTAAGGGGGCAGCCTGTGGCATGATACAAGTGAGGTGGAGGAGCCTCACAGGACAGTTTGGGTCAGCTATAGTGACAGTTATGACCACTTAACCCAACCTTAACATTAGTCACGGCAAGTGTAGAATAGTGCCAGTTTCCTTATGACGGGAGGGTGACGCAACAATGGGGGGGGTGGACGCAACAATAGGGGGGGGGGGTGGACGCAACAATAGGGGGGGGGGGTGGACGCAACAATGGGGGGGGGGGGGTGGACGCAACAATGGGGGGGGGGTGGACGCAACAATGGGGGGGGGGGTGTAACCCCAACATACAACTCACCTCAAGAGACGAGTCCGGAACTGTGCACCAAAAGTGAGGTAAAACACACTGAAGTGCATTATGTCTCATCGTCACTTATATAACCAGCAGCCAACCACACTCGGCCGCTGATTGGTTGACATTCACCCTAAGACTCACCTCATTGGTTGACATTCACCCTAAAACTCACCTCATTGGTTGACATTTTGCGAGTCTCAAGTGCCAATTAACAATGGCCAACAGCCACTCCTTCACTTCCCCAAACACGAACGAGTTCCTAATGAACCAATAAAATATATTTCACAAACCAAATACAACAGTCTATTGTAAATGTTGCAACAGAACAACATTTGTAATATAATCTACAGTGAAGTAATAATTGTCTGTCAGTCAAGAACTGTTAATGGCCGCTACAATATACATGTAATTATAGACCAACAAACCAAAGTTCCTGACACAACATTGGATGATGCTAAATATTGGCTTTCAATTGACTTAAGATATTGCTCGTTAATGACAAATTAAGTGACTTTAACTTATTGAAGTGTGAACATTTATGCTTTATAATAACTATTGACGTCCAAGATGACATTGTTCAGAATATTCCAATCAAATGTTTATTCCAGTAAAAATACAGACATACGAGATGAGTTACAAACATATTATTGGATTTCTAGATAGAGCTTGTACATACTAAAGCCACTAATACGCGTAGCGTTTCCAGCAACGTGTGGGACACTTACACTAAACTTAATACTAAATGAGATCAAAGCATAAATAGAGTTGAAAAGGAAAAAAAACTTGGTGGAAATCATGAGAGGTTTTCACTTGAGAGGATGTGTGTGCAGTGACTTAATATCTTACATATTCAGAGATTTGAGTAAGGGTACCGAGTGCTGTCTGGGGCCAGAGTTGGATATTGTTCTAATAGCAGCTTTGTGTTGAGTAATTAGAGGACGTAAATGATTTTGGGTAATAGAACCCCAAGCACAAATACCATAGTTGAGATAAGGATAGATGAGAGAGTAATAGAGAGTCACCAGGGCAGGGCGAGGTACATAATATCTGATCTTAGAAAGAATGCCAACAGTTATAAAGCCTTTTTTTGATATATTTAAAATGTGTCCCCTGGAAATTTAACTTGTTATCGATGAGGACACCAATGAATTTACCATCTACTTTGTTACTAATTTAAATATTATTTATTCTTTGATTAATTTGATCTGATTTATTACCAAACAAAATATAGAAAGTTTTGTCAATATAAAGGGTGAGTTTGTTAGGAGTTAGCCAAAGATGGACTTACTACCACCCACATCTATGTGGTAGTGGACCCCATACCAATCCTGTGGATGGCAGTGGACCCCCAAACCCATTCTATGAGCGGTTGTAAGCCCCACACTTATCCTACATGTGGTAGTGGACCCCATACCCACCCTATGGGCGGTAATGGACACATACCCACCCTATGGGCGGTAATGGACACATACCCACCCTATGGGCGGTAATGGACACATACCCACCCTATGGGCGGTAATGGACCCCATACCCATCCTGCGGCCGGTAGTGGACCATATACCCATCTTCTTGGCGGTAGTGGATCCCATACCCATTCTGCGGGCGGTAGTGGGCCCCATACCCATCCAGAGTTTGGTAATGAGCCCCATACCCATCCAATGGGTGGTAATGATCCCCGTACCCATCCTGTGGGCAGTAATGGACCCCATACCCATCCAACAGGTGGTAGTGAACCAAATACCCACCCCAACAGGTGGTAGTGGATCCCATACCTATCCTTTTGGGTGGTAGTGGATCACATACCTATCCTTTTGGGTGGTAGTGGACACCATAAACATGGTGGAACTTGTTGTGGACACTATCTATCCCGTTTGCAATAGTATGCCCCAGATTTTCCAACGTCACATTGTTTTCTGTTGACGTTCCAATAATTCATTCTCTTTATGGCCTTAAAGGACGAACTATTATATATAATGCTGTTTAGCGAAAGCATCATTATCATATGTAATAATTTAGTGTTTATTATAATTTACTGGCAAGCATCAAAACGTCTCCTAAGTGATAACCTTTATCAGGAAGCACTGTAGAATAGTGGGTTAAATATTTTCTGGGAATATTGCGGCTCTCAGGCAGTCAGCGATGGTAATCAATTCCCTCATTACAAGCAAATGATTTAGCTAAATTTGGAGCACTGTGCTCAGTTCCACGAGGTCTCCGTCCTGTCCTGTGCTCAGTTCCACGAGGTCTCCGTCCTGTCCTGTGCTCAGTTCCACGAGGTCTCCGTCCTGTCCTGTGCTCAGTTCCACGAGGTCTCCGTCCTGTCCACTGTGCTCAGTTCCACGAGGTCTCCGTCCTGTCCTGTGCTCAGTCCCACAAGGTCTCCGTCCTGTCCACTGTGCTCAGTTCCACGAGGTCTCCGTCCTGTCCTCTGTGCTCAGTTCCACGAGGTCTCCGTCCTGTCCACTGTGCTCAGTTCCACGAGGTCTCCGTCCTGTCCTCTGTGCTCAGTTCCACGAGGTCTCCGTCCTGTCCTCTGTGCTCAGTTCCACGAGGTCTCCGTCCTGTCCTCTGTGCTCAGTCCCACAAGGTCTCCGTCCTGTCCTCTGTGCTCAGTCCCACGAGGTCTCCGTCCTGTCCTCTGTGCTCAGTTCCACGAGGTCTCCGTCCTGTCCTGTGCTCAGTCCCACGAGGTCTCCGTCCTGTCCTCTGTGCTCAGTCCCACAAGGTCTCCGTCCTGTCCTCTGTGCTCAGTCCCACAAGGTCTCCGTCCTGTCCTCTGTGCTCAGTCCCACAAGGTCTCCGTCCTGTCCTCTGTGCTCAGTCCCACAAGGTCTCCGGCCTGTCCTCTGTGCTCAGTTCCACGAGGTCTCCGTCCTGTCCTCTGTGCTCAGTCCCACAAGGTCTCCGTCCTGTCCTCTGTGCTCAGTCCCACAAGGTCTCCGTCCTGTCCTCTGTGCTCAGTCCCACAAGGTCTCCGTCCTGTCCTCTGTGCTCAGTTCCACGAGGTCTCCGTCCTGTCCTGTGCTCAGTTCCACAAGGTCTCCGTCCTGTCCTGTGCTCAGTTCCACAAGGTCTCCGTCCTGTCCTCTGTGCTCAGTCCCACAAGGTCTCCGTCCTGTCCTCTGTGCTCAGTCCCACAAGGTCTCCGTCCTGTCCTCTGTGCTCAGTCCCACAAGGTCTCCGTCCTGTCCTCTGTGCTCAGTCCCACAAGGTCTCCGTCCTGTCCTCTGTGCTCAGTCCCACAAGGTCTCCGCCCTGTCCTCTGTGCTCAGTTCCACAAGGTCTCCGTCCTGTCCTGTGCTCAGTTCCACGAGGTCTCCGTCCTGTCCACTGTGCTCAGTTCCACAAGGTCTCCGTCCTGTCCTCTGTGCTCAGTCCCACAAGGTCTCCGGCCTGTCCACTGTGCTCAGTCCCACAAGGTCTCCGTCCTGTCCTCTGTGCTCAGTCCCACAAGGTCTCCGTCCTGTCCTCTGTGCTCAGTCCCACAAGGTCTCCGTCCTGTCCTCTGTGCTCAGTCCCACAAGGTCTCCGTCCTGTCCTCTGTGCTCAGTCCCACAAGGCCTCCGGCCTGTCCTCTGTGCTCAGTCCCACAAGGTCTCCGTCCTGTCCTCTGTGCTCAGTCCCACAAGGTCTCCGTCCTGTCCTCTGTGCTCAGTCCCACAAGGCCTCCGGCCTGTCCTCTGTGCTCAGTCCCACAAGGCCTCCGTCCTGTCCTCTGTGCTCAGTCCCACAAGGTCTCCGTCCTGTCCTCTGTGCTCAGTCCCACAAGGTCTCCGTCCTGTCCTCTGTGCTCAGTCCCACAAGGTCTCCGCCCTGTCCTCTGTGCTCAGTCCCACAAGGTCTCCGTCCTGTCCTCTGTGCTCAGTCCCACAAGGCCTCCGGCCTGTCCACTGTGCTCAGTCCCACAAGGTCTCCGTCCTGTCCTCTGTGCTCAGTCCCACAAGGTCTCCGCCCTGTCCTCTGTGCTCAGTCCCACAAGGTCTCCGCCCTGTCCTCTGTGCTCAGTCCCACAAGGTCTCCGTCCTGTCCTCTGTGCTCAGTCCCACAAGGTCTCCGTCCTGTCCTCTGTGCTCAGTCCCACAAGGTCTCCGTCCTGTCCTCTGTGCTCAGTCCCACAAGGTCTCCGCCCTGTCCTCTGTGCTCAGTCCCACAAGGTCTCCGCCCTGTCCTCTGTGCTCAGTCCCACAAGGCCTCCGGCCTGTCCACTGTGCTCAGTCCCACAAGGTCACCGTCCTGTCCTCTGTGCTCAGTCCCACAAGGTCTCCGCCCTGTCCTCTGTGCTCAGTCCCACAAGGTCTTCGCCCTGTCCTCTGTGCTCAGTCCCACAAGGCCTCCGGCCTGTCCACTGTGCTCAGTCCCACAAGGTCTCCGTCCTGTCCTCTGTGCTCAGTCCCACAAGGTCTCCGTCCTGTCCTCTGTGCTCAGTCCCACAAGGTCTCCGCCCTGTCCTCTGTGCTCAGTCCCACAAGGTCTCCGCCCTGTCCTCTGTGCTCAGTCCCACAAGGCCTCCGGCCTGTCCACTGTGCTCAGTCCCACAAGGTCTCCGCCCTGTCCTCTGTGCTCAGTCCCACAAGGTCTCCGTCCTGTCCACTGTGCTCAGTCCCACAAGGCCTCCGGCCTGTCCACTGTGCTCAGTCCCACAAGGCCTCCGGCCTGTCCACTGTGCTCAGTCCCACAAGGCCTCCGGCCTGTCCACTGTGCTCAGTCCCACAAGGTCTCCGCCCTGTCCTCTGTGCTCAGTCCCACAAGGTCTCCGTCCTGTCCACTGTGCTCAGTCCCACAAGGCCTCCGGCCTGTCCACTGTGCTCAGTCCCACAAGGTCTCCGCCCTGTCCTCTGTGCTCAGTCCCACAAGGCCTCCGGCCTGTCCACTGTGCTCAGTCCCACAAGGTCTCCGGCCTGTCCACTGTGCTCAGTCCCACAAGGTCTCCGTCCTGTCCACTGTGCTCAGTCCCACAAGGTCTCCGGCCTGTCCACTGTGCTCAGTCCCACAAGGCCTCCGTCCTGTCCACTGTGCTCAGTCCCACAAGGTCTCCGGCCTGTCCTCTGTGCTCAGTCCCACAAGGTCACCGTCCTGTCCTCTGTGCTCAGTCCCACAAGGTCTCCGTCCTGTCCTCTGTGCTCAGTCCCACAAGGTCTCCGTCCTGTCCTCTGTGCTCAGTCCCACAAGGCCTCCGGCCTGTCCTCTGTGCTCAGTCCCACAAGGCCAAATTACTGACCATTCCCAGGTTGCACGAATTTAATAATAAATTGATTGCTTTGGTAATTATTAATTAATATTTTGTGCACATATATTACCCAATACCCATCGGCTCTTTGAGGGTACATACACGTGGAGGTGAAGAGTACATATGCAGGTACAGAGTACATGTGGTGGTACAGAGTATATGTGGTGATGTAGGGTACATATAATGTACATAATAATGTTGGGTAATAAGAATTCGCTTCACAGTAATCTTATAAGAGGAGCCAGCCAAGGATATCTTTTCAACAGTTATCTTGAGGTTATCTTGAGATGATTTCGGGGCTTTTTAGTGTCCCCGCGGCCCGGTCCTCGACCAGGCCTCCACCCCCAGGAAGCAGCCCGTGACAGCTGACTAACACCCAGGTACCTATTTTACTGCTAGGTAACAGGGGCATAGGGTGAAAGAAACTCTGCCCAATATTTCTCGCCGGCGCCTGGGATCGAACCCAGGACCACAGGATCACAAGTCCAGCGTGCTATCCATCAGGCTACGAGGCTCCTGGTGCAAATACTGAATCACTTGCATGGAATTCTCAAGAGATGGGAGGACATATGCAAAGGCAATAGTAAAAGATAAGTTTACTAAAGAAATCTACAACACACATCAAGGTAAATGAACTGTAGAGACGAGCAGGTGTCGGCAGCACTCCTCAGGTCCTATTTACGGGCTATTCATGCCCGTGCCACCTCTTGGGTGGCTTAAATTATAATTTAATGATTCAATTCAATATTGATCTACCTTTAAATTGTCTGCTACAAGACGCCGGGTCTCTGATGATCCTCTGCAACCTAGACATTTGGAGAACTCACTTAGCGCACGTCTGCACTCAACGACGGTCCGGGAAACTCTGAGCTGATAGGCGCTTGCTGGCTCTGGCGCCGCTGGCCCGGTGACGTCACGCCCCGGGGATGGCTCCCCATTGGTCAATTTTTGCACGCGACCTAGCTGTCCTAGCCAATCGCCGCGCGGCTGGCGCCCTCGCATCTTGGCGGGAGTCTGGCCTACCCATCGCCATCTTGTAAATCTAAAGGGCTTATAAGTTTAAATTTTAAATTTTGCCCCGAGGGGCGAGTTTATTAGGCAGCGCCACTTATCTTGTGAGTGGACATACCGCCATAGCAGCAGGTACAACACTCCCCAATAAGAAGAAAACCCGCTGGGTTGTTCATCCTGTCACTTGTACAGCTTATAAGCTTCCTTTGTAAGCCCAAAACTAAAATGATAACTTTACTCCCAGTCGGGCACTCTTGCTACCCGTCACATACATCAAAAGATTCCCTGCACCTCGGGGAACTTGCAGGACGTAGAGATATGACTTACTGCTGGACAAAGGAAGATGTAGGAGAGGGCACCGTAACAGTACCTACTTATTGCTAGGTAAATGGAAATGTGCCCAACCATTTCTGTCCCACCCGGGATTCGAAGTCGAGAATGAACCCGACTGTACTACCGGGATCACAGCACAATACAGGGTGCACGTGGGAGTACACAGTATATGTGCTGGTGGTATTGGATCTAATACCCATTCTGTGGGTGTTATGGTTCCTAATTCTCATCCCGTGGGGTATTGTGGACACCATATTGTTGAGGAGCTGGTCGGCCGAGTGGACAGCACGCTGGATTTGTGATCCTGTGGTCCTGGGTTCGATCCCAGGCGCCGGTGAGAAACAATGGGCAGAGTTTCTTTAACCCTATGCCCCTGTTACCTAGCAGTAAAATAGGTACCTGGGTGTTAGTCAGCTGTCACGGGCTGCTTCCTGGGGGTGGAGGCCTGGTCGAGGACCGGGCCGCGGGGACACTAAAGCCCTGAAATCATCTCAAGATAACCATAACCATGCTGTGAACGATATTGGTCCCCAGACCCATCCTTTGGGCGGTAGTGTAGTGTACTTTAATCTATACGTTTTTTATAATACATAATGTCCTATTCATGGTCTTCAATTTGTATAGAGCATACTCTATTCTATATATTATAATTTGGCGCCAATTGAAATATTTAAATAATAATTCATAGAATAATTATTATAATTTACTGAGAACTACCAAGTTTTCTCAAAACTAAGCTACGAGTCTTCGATAAGATGTAGCTGATCCATAATATTCAAATAAGATGGAAAAATGTTACGGAAATTTCTCCTTCAGAAACTTGTGTAAGGAATCATTCAGAACCTTGTATACCACATATGTCAGACCAATACTGGAGTATGCGGCTCCAGCATGGTGTCCACATCTAGTCAAACACAAAACGAAGTTAGAAAAGGTTGAGAGGTATGCCACCAGGCTAAGCCCCGAGCTGAGAGGTATGAGCTACGAGGAAAGATTGTTGGAACTGAACCTCACGGCACTGGAAGTGGGAATGGAAAATTACAATTATCATTCAAATTTGATCAAAGAGACTATTCTGGTGTCCACGGCGATGGAACGGGTACTATGGGACGCGAGGAAGGGTTGGTGCTTGGGGATAGCTAACAACTGTAAATCTCCCACAGAGGAACTGTAATCACTAGCAGCATAGGAACTATTATTCTAATAATTATGTCACATAGTACTTGTGAGACCTGGTTACCTGGTTGATGGGGTTTTGAGAGTTGTTCTACTCCCCAAGCCCAGCCCGAGCGGTCCGTCTAATTACCACCAGCTACACAAAGCTTCAGAAAGCTTCCTGGCAATACGTTAGTAATGAATAAATATGATATATTTACTCATTATAATGTTGGTGCTGAATGTACAACACGGAAAAAAATAGGGCTCAGAACACTATCTTGGGGAACACCTTCATTCTATTGAAGAAAACAAAATTAAGTATTCCCAACTCTCACTTGAAATGGAGAGGATGCTTTGAAGAAAAAATGGAGTGCCACAAAATACAAAAGAATGAAGTTGAACTAAAACATTGTATGTCCAAGTGGTGTCATAAACCTTCTTAAAGTCGAAAAGAACAACACTGAAAATTAGCATCCCAATAATCAACATGAAAGTTGAAGATCCAGACAGCTTCGTTATGAATGCAATCCAAATTCTAGACTATACATGCATACCGAAACCGATATTAACACGAACACATAAGACTTAAGAGAAAATGACAACATGCCCATGCACTCAGCCCCCTGGTCCCAATTCATGGAATTCAATATTCATAAAGAAATGTAAAGTACCAGTAGTGTGAGAGCTCAGGGTAATATGGAGAAAGAGCCTAGATACAGGGGAGAGATACCAGCAGCACTTAAATCTGCAGATTTACACAGATACTACACAAAGGAGGTAGTAAAGCTTTGTCAAAAAAATATAAACCAGTCACACTAACATCACACTTATTAAGAGATGTTGAAAGTGTGATTAGGAATCAAACCTCCAGTTTTTGGAAAACAATGAACTTCACAACTCGGGTCAACATGATTTAGAATAAGAAAATCCTTGTCTTTTTTGTAATTACTCAATCACTAGAATAAAATCACAGATGCATTAAAAGAAAATATAATAGAGATGTAACATACTCAGGCTTTGAAAAGGCATTTGATAAGTGTGACTATAGTTAGATAGCCCATAAAATGAGAACAATGGGAATAATGGGTAAAGTGAGGGCATTGGATTTTAAATTTTGCCAGAATGTAAAGAATAATAATCAAACATGATAAAAGTCCAAGTGCAGTGAAAAGCTTTGTATTCCAGGGCACCCACTGATCATCCTATACAGAAAATGTACTTGGGTAGTACTTGTGTATTCCAGGGCACCCACTGATCATCCTATACAGAAAATGTACAAGGGAGCCGGTCAGCCGAGCGGACAGCACACTGGACTTGTGATCCTGCCCGTTACCTAGCAGTAAATAGGTACCTGGGTGTTAGTCAGCTGTCACGGGCTGCTTCCTGGGGGTGGAGGCCTGTCAGGGCACAAATCGCCTTCTTGTATGTTTGGGTCATTACACATAGAAATCACAATAGCATGATACATCAAATTAACAAATCCACAAGGGCCGTGACGAGGATTTGAACCTACGTCTGGGAGCATCCCAGACACTGCCTTTATCGACTGAGCTACGACATGGTCAAAAAGAGTTGAAACATTTACATGTCGTAGCTCAGTCGATTAAGGCAGCATCTGGGATGTTCCGGGACGTAGGACCGAATCCTCGTCACGGCCCTTGTGGATTTGTTCATTAATGTTTGGGTCATGTTTTTAAATCAAATGGGACTAAATAAAAGTATTTATTTATTGCCATATTTATTTTTGTTAAAAAAAAAAAAGAAAAAAAAAAGGTAAATGTTTGGATTTTGGAATGGCTCTGTAAATGGACAAAACAACGTGTTTATCTTTGTCTTAAAACAAAGAGAAAGCAGCAGTAAAATTTTCAAAACAAAAAATGCTTTTTAAATGAAAGAATTTTTTTTGTCGTAAAATTAAAAATGTCATATACAGAACCACCCAACCCGGCGGGAAATTTTAACAGCTGACTACTGCAGTAGACAGAATCAGGATGGTATCTAACCATCTCTTAACTCAATTGACACTCGAGCTTTCATTATCATTACCTCATGAGTTAGGTTGGTACACCACCATCTCCAACTCTGCTGTAATACATGATTTGAAAACTTGAATCCTCAAGAAAATTAAATGAAAAAATAAACACAGGGTGATAACAAAATCATAAATGGCCATTGTTTGAAGATGAAATGCTCTTAAATGGTACTTGTGTTGCGTGCAGCGTATCGTGCGAGTGTTTCTAACCCACTCGGGGCTCGGTGTGATCAAAAGGGACTTGCACTTCATCGAGTAATGTACGGCCCGGGTGCCCGACAAGTATAATATTGGTCATATTCAAAAGTAGCTTACACTTCAGCTCATGCCAGTGCCCCAAGTTATATCTAATCATATCATATTAATTAATTTACCCAACCTTACACACAGAAATCACAATAGCGTGATGCATCAATTAACAAATCCACAAGGGCCGTGACGAGGATTCGACCCTATGTCCGAGATGATCCCAGACGCTGCCTTAATCTACGACCTACGACACGGTCAAAGGAGTTGAAACCAAAGTTCTACAAACTCTTTTGACTATGTCGTAGCTCAGTCTATTAAGGCAGCGTCTGGGATCATCTCGGACGTAGGTTCGAATCCTCGTCACAGCCCTTGTGGATTTGTTTACCCAACCACTTAAGGCTTGAGCCAATATAAGCCTCAGCAAAAAATGACACTCAAAGGATCCTGATCAACGAACATGTGACTCGTATATCAGGCTGCAAGCAGCAGCATCGAACAGTCTTGTTGACCAGGTCGCCTGCTTGCAAACCCGGCTACAGGGACATTGATTCTTGGAATCATTGACAGGTATATCAGGCATCACTGTGGACAGTGCCATCACTGAAAGTGTAAGCCACATTAACATTGCTGGAACTAACAATAAATCCATTTCACACAAATGATAAGTTTAGAGTTGTGCTAACTTTACAGTAAAATGGTCCAGGCCAACTGTAGCATCATCACGCTTCACATCATGCGTAAGTTCAGCATTTGTAACTAATATATTTCCAACAAGTTTATATTATTTGAGATACAGAGTGAACAACAAACTGCATTTTCTGTGGTTGTCCAAGTTTTGAGATTGTGATTTAAGACAGAACTTGTAGAAACTCTTTCGTTTTTATGTAGATTAGCAAAAAACGTAAAAATAAAATCCTAGCTTTTATATAGACTTGCATTAAATTGTTCCATACACAAAACCAGCATATAAAATGGAAACGGCACACTAATTACATTCATTGCTTGTAGGTCCAAAACAAAATGTTTTTAAATATGCAAATATGACAAAAGATGTATATTTATTACCGCAGGTGCACGAGCCTGTGGCAAGAATCATCAAAAGAAAATGCAAAGCCCAGAAGGCTATACAACACCGCATGTGTAACAGTACTGTACTACCTATTCAAAAGCTTCAGTGGCCTGACGGCTGAGTGGACAGCGCTTGGTATTTGTAGTTCTAAGGGTCCAGGTTCGAGCCCCGGTGGAGGCGGAAACAAATAGGCAGTTTCTTCCACCCTGATTGCTCTGTTCACCTAACAGTAAATAGGTACCTGGGAGTTAGACAGCTGCTATGGGCTGCTTCCTGGGGATGTGTAACAAAAAAGGAAGCTTGGTCGAGGACCAAGCCGCAGAGACGTTAAGTCCTGAAATCATCTCTAGATAACCTCAAGGGTGTCAGTACCAAAGCACTAGACGCAAGAGCAACGCACAAAGAGTCTGATTTGCAGACAATTGTATCGAGTAACGTACGGCCCGGGTGCCCGACAAGTATAGTATTGGTCATATTCAATCATAAAAGAAAAAAAGTAAATGGAAAGAATTAACCCCACAATGGCTTCCACTAAAACATTCTTTCCAAGATTTCAATGGAACACTGATGACCAAATTTGTTTCAGTTCACTACTCTTCCACAGCTCTACCATGGCAACTCTTCTCCATGGCTCAGGAGTTCCAATGTTTTACGAACAATACATTTTGCACTTCTAGACTCGTTTCACAAATGCATTCCAATAAGAACTACTGCAATCTTCCAAATTAGAATCGACGCCAATTTCTAGTAATTCTCACCGTCGCTCATCCAGAACGTCATTATCTATGTAACGTGAATCTCGGTTATGTTGATCATTCTAACATCAACACCAATTTTAGTGAAGAGCAAGTCCTCATTCCTTATATTTAATTACATGTAAACATGCAAGCAAGACCTTGTTTAACAGAATCCGATCTTATTGACAGGGTCAACATAAACAATTAATACCCACGTGCAGTGCTTCCAGTACATAATCAACACAAAACTGAAACCCCTAGATGATTATGAGATTAGTATACTTGCCCCCTTTTTATGGCATTTAGTCATGTTTTCATGTAAAGTATTGAAAGTTTAAAGTACTAAAAAAATATAAAATAAAATAAGTTATCCAATATATTATACAAGCACAGAAGCTTTCAACTCCCGATGTATACATCAGAAATGCATCAACGTGATGACTAAATGAATCCTTTCAGACTCGTAGAAAACTATGTTTTCTAGATAACTAAAGATACGAGATTATAAACGCAACCCACTTTGTCCATTTACTTATGTGGTGTACAACTTTGAAAATCATTCAGTTTGTGGGCAAGGGACAATACTGTATACTGAAATACCTAGCCAGTTTTACAAGACCATCAATAGCGTTTAAGAATTGGTAATTTGTCATTTTAAATGGCAATCATAATGCAGCAAATTCTCACAAGTGTCCCAGATGAAAAACAAAAATTCTACTACAACACTGCACCCCTGGAGAGAGGAAGAGAACCCGACATGTATGGTCCAGCAATGAATCTTCACGCGTCAGTTTGTTGGCTACACTCACAGCAAGGCTGCAGAAGGATCACCAGAGACGAAAGAAACCCACGGCCAATATATTTTTGTTCCCAATTATGCTCACGTTTGTTGTATGTATTGAAGTGCATCTTGTGGGAGTGTGTGTGTGTGTACGCGCGCATGCTCACCTAGTGAGTACTCACTAGGTCTCGCAAGTGTATGTGTGTGTGTGGTGTGTAATTACATAAATAGTTACAAGACGAGAGCTACGCTCGTGGTGTACAGTCTTCCCAGTTCTCTGTCAAATAACAGTATGACGTTACGGTGCGTGTGTGTGCGCAAGCTTGTAAGAAAGTTTGCAATTTGCGCAAGTTGTATGTTCGCGAGTGCATTAAATATAATTTCTGAAGTCTTTGGTTTACGACAATATAATATACAGTGTACTTTTATATTTCTTGAATGTAAACATTTATCACATTAGAGATAATTACTCAATTCCTATGAAAAGTAAAGCTTAAAGACCCAATCAAATTGAAAGATACGAAGATGACCAATTACACACATCATTCTACAAACTAGATTTCCTCTAGTTTTTTCAAAATATTTGGTTTAAGCCTATCCATTTCAAAATATTTTAGCATTTAAAATTGCCTCGCTAAATTGCAGCCTATCTTCAAAGAAAAATTAAGAATTTATGCTACATTCTAGTACTGATTCTCTAACCCTAAAGAATGGATGGTATCACAGCAGGAATTACAATAACTAAAAACTAATATTTTTGTCCATGCATCATGTGTCAAGTCATACTTTGGCTGATAATATAATTTACAATCGCTCATATAAATATCAGATTGTAAAAAGTGCAACCTAAACCAGGCATGTTCGTAAAGCCTTACCTGCAAATAAGCTTTAATATGGCTCCTGTAACACAGTGATCTCCATTCTCAACTCTTAATCGCGGCTCATGGGTTCGATCCCTGAGCACATTTTGATTCACCTGATGCCTCTGTTTACCTAGCAGTAAATAGGTACGCAGAAGTTAAACAACTACCGGCATAAGGATTCCAGTGGTGGTCAGTCGTTGGCCTAGGCAGACCTTGATGAGCCTAAGTCGGGGACCGGACAGGAAGCCTGTTCCAAACAAATGGGAATTATATGTTCTGAAATTCAAGGTAAATTTAGTATACCTGGATAGATCTCATATGTCTGCTATTGAACACCTATTGATTCCCTCATCATCATGAGAGAAAGAGAAAAAAAGGCATTCAGGATACTCTCGAAAAGAGTGATATTACACTGCCAATGCCAATTAATTTTTGTGGGCCATCATAGCCATGCAAAACTCTACTTATAGGGACTTCAATATTAAGAGTACTAACTTGCATGTTACCGTCTATGATGTGTAGAACCTTCTGTAGCACCTTGGGCCACGAGCCTTTACGCATATGCATGTATGTGCTCTTTGTCTTATGCCAGATAACAGGAGTCAATAAAGTTTTCATAAAAACCTGAAAGTAGCTAAACAAAATTCCTAATTTAGTCTTATACTTCATTTGCTTAAAACAACAAATTATAAAATAACATCACACATTACCGCACAATGCAGCGAAAAGCCGTATTCGTCTACGTCACAAACCATCATCCTAGTCACAGTTAACTCTGTTAATTTTCTGTTTGGCAAATACTGTATGCAACTACATGTGTGTTTGATGACAAAGTTACAAGAATGAAGTGTTAATTTCCTATAAACAAAAAAAAAAATCATCATCTTAGAGATGACTGAGCTCCATTATGCAAATAACCAATACGATTGGAAAGATTACTTTTCTCTTCAAAGAAATTAAATATGGTAGAAACAACAAAAATTACACACAAAAATACTTTTGATTGAAATATTTTTCATTATATATATATATATATATATATATATATATATATATATATATATATATATATATATATATATATATATATATATATATATATATATATATATATATATATATAAATGAGAAAAATTACTTGATATAAATAACCATTACTGTGCTTATATTCATGTTAACAGAACAGACTATGATATCCAGAACATTCGATATGGCTAAACAAGCAATAATTTGACAAGTTCACACTATAATGTGTTTGCAGACCATGTGAATCTTTCTTCGACACACGGGACACCTAGAGCCACTGTTAAGCAGACGTCGGGCGCATTGGTAACATGTTGCCTGATGGGATAGTCGACCGTGTATTATCGATCCATTCTTAGGCCGAAGGCAACATATTAAACATAGATTAGAAACGCCAGATGCTAACTCTAATTCATCAATTTCTGAGGATTCTATATTCACATTTGCACTTATTGCTTCAATAATAACCCCCTGAGTACTCAAAGAGGATTGAAACTGCCTTCCAGGTGCAGATCTAAGCCATTCTCGGCCAGCGGCAGAGTCCAGAAACAAAGAAAGAGCTGTGGCTTTAGCTTCCATTTCAATAGTTACAATACTGTCACTCTCCTCACTTGAATCACACACCTCCAAGGGTTTAGATTTTTTGTGTAGTTTGACATTCTCAGAACTAGATAATTTCCGTTTCCTACAACCTGATGTGTTTGCAGCTGGAGTTTCTTCGGTTGTTGAATTCTTGGAAGAAGCCCCTTGGCCCGAGAGATCTTTTTCGCTTGAGAAATTAGTTTTGGGAATCTGAAAATCAACTGTTTTAGGTGTGCTGTCATCCAAACTTGACCCTCCTGCAAAACCTATTAACATATCCTGCGACAATGAAATTCCAGAGTCTTGAGAACTAAAGTGACCATGAGAGAAATTTCTAGGCGGTGAGTCACATTTAAGCGATACAGTTGAGGCAGTTGAGGATGTCCTTGGTAATTCTTCAAGTTCTTGGCTACTCTCGCTATTAATATTTAAGTTTGATATAACCAAACTGTTTTCTTCAGGATTTGCATGCTGATCATCCGATTGAATAGACTCTGTTCTATGCCTGGAATGTTTCTTCTTCGGTCTGGGCTTCCTCCTTCGCTTCTTTGGACGGTCTGGCAACCAATTCTTTCTTAACTGAAATATTAATTATTTGTTATTAGAATTAATTGTAATAGTTAATGCTGAAATTATCATAAATTGCTTAAAAACAATGTCTGCCCTCTACATTAAAATAGGAAAAGTACTTGTACCGTTTCCAGTGCCGAGAGTTTGACTGCTAAATTGACACATTTTGCATCGCATTCCATTTGGATACAGCATGAATGTCTGGGATCACTAGGATACCATATTTGCCATGGGCGATTCATGCAAGCAGCCGTGTGGCTGTATTATTAACGCAAATTTTAAGAATATTTAGCAAGCAAAATCATGAAATACCAATTTATGTACACAAGATACAATAGTACCAACAAGAGAACGGCGATTTGAAAAACCACATGTCTGTACATAAATGAGAATGTACAGTTTATCCTCTCTTGAACAAACTACATAGGGCAAAGCTAATTCATTCCGTAAGTGATTTAGTTTCACCTGTCAAACATTGGGCCTAATGCCTACTACTACTGCCAAACTTCTGCCTATTAGGAAAAAATACAATGAAATAAATAAAAATTCATGGGCCTGCATCACCTATAGCGTATATATAGTTTGGTGACTTACTTTACAAGGAGAGTAGTGTAGTGAAATATCTTTATAAATACTGAAACCCTGCCAATGAGGCAAGTGCAAATCCATCAAAACACATCTTTTTTTCCGTCTATATTAAACAAAATAATAGACAATAAATATTTTTAATATAGCATATAATAGAGCAATTACTGACGAGCAATTCTATACCATAGTGATAACTATGCGACAATTACTTATGGGACCCAATGACCAGGATTTACACAAACTTAACCAGCCTTAGATATAAATGTTTACAACAAATCAATTTACAGTGGAACCTTGAATAACGAATTTAATCCGTTCCGGCACCAAGCTCGTTATGTGAAAAGCTCGTCTTTCAAAACGAATTTCCCTATTTAAAATAATGGGAATCAAATTAATTCGTTCTACCACCGTAAAACATGAATATGATATTCGATTTTTTAAAAAATGGAGCAGCCTACCTTACATACACTGAACAAACCTTTATAACTTTTCTTCAAATTTGTTTAATTTTTTTTTTCATTTTTGTTATAGCATAAGGTTTGTTCGGTGTTTGTCAGGTAGGCTGCTCCATGTTTCTTAAAAAAAAAATGAAAAATAATAAAAACAATTTAAAAATTTGAAAAACGGACAAATACCATAAAGGTTCGTTCAGTGTTTGTCGGGCAGGATGCTCTATAATGATAATCTTTCTTTCAAATGTGTTCAATTTATTTTGTATTTTTCATTTATTTATTAATAATAGAGCAGCCTACCCGACAAACACTGAACGAACCTTATGGCATTTGTCCGTTTTACAAATTTTTTCAATTGATTTTATTATTTCTCTTTTTTTTAAGAAACATGGGGAAGCCTACCTGACAAACGCCTGGTTGATACCTGGTTGATGGGGTTCTGGGAGTTCTACTACTCCCCAAGCCCGGCCCGAGGCCAGGCTTGACTTGTGAGTGTTTGGTCCACCAGGCTGTTGCTTGGAGCGGCCCGAGGCCAGGCTTGACTTGTGAGTGTTTGGTCCACCAGGCTGTTGCTTGGAGCGGCCCGCAGGCCCACATACCCACCACAGCCCGGTTGGTCCGGCACTCCTTGGAGGAATAAATCTAGTTTCCTCTTGAAAATGTCCACGGTTGTTCTGGCAATATTTCTTATGCTTGCTGGGAGGACGTTGAACCGAATGAATTTTTTTCCCATTTGTTCTGTTTTTCAAAATTTCCATTTTATTTTTATTCTACAAAAATAAGAATGCTTTGCAGCATCACCCCTTTACAGCCCAGCATCATTTGCATCTTTAAACAAAAAACATATTCTATTTGCATTGTCGGAGGCGTCCGGGAATGTGCAAGAAGTAGCAGGAACGCACCATGTGGTTTTCTCGTTAATCAAACGAACGCTCGCCAAATTGTTGACAAATTGTTGACAAACGACAAATTGTTGGCGATCGGTGTGCTCGTTATTCAAAATGCTCGTAAATTGAGGCGCTCTTCACACGAGGTTCCACTGTATTATGCATTATTCATTTTAACTGACCTATGATAGGGGGGATCATTTGCAACTAATTTGGTATCAAAATTATACACGTGATCATGATTGAAACCAAGCATGGGAAATCATAGAAAATATATATATACAAAACTTGTGAGGGAATAAAGAGGGGAAGGAGGGATCCCCCTCTGTCCTCCCTCACTTCCCCACACTTGTGGCTCCCAAGTCAGCCGATGGCTGCTGCTTCATCATGCTGGAAGGCAGCTACACCCCACGTGTTTGTCTGTCTATCGTCAATTTTCACTCGACCGGGAATGTTATCTTGAGGTTATCTTGAGATGATTTCGGGGCTTAGTGTCCCCGCGGCCCGGTCCTCGACCAGGCCTCCACCCCCAGGAAGCAGCCCGTGACAGCTGACTAACACCCAGGTACCTATTTACTGGTAGGTAACAGGGGCATAGAGTGAAAGAAACTCTGCCCATTGTTTCTCGCCAGCACCCGGGATCGAACCCGGGACCACAGGATCACAAGTTCAGCGTGCTGTCCGCTTGGCCGACCGGCTCCCTCCGGTCGGCCTCTGTATCCTTCTGTATTCGCACTTTTTATTACAATCTGCAGCACTATTATTGCCCCAGCACAACATCTTGCCAATGAAAAATGACAAATTACACTCCTGATATTGTGGTAACTGAAAATTTCATCTCTGACCAAGCCAAGCAGCCAGCAATGGTGTTTGAACAAGTATATTGACTCGTAAACTAAAAGCATTGTTATATCTGTTATTTTGCGTATACTTTTGAGTTATTATTGATTGACACCAATAAATGCATTATAGTTCGTTATACTTTAGTTTTTCTGTTATTCATATTTTATGCATTGTATTAATATTTGAGCTTGAACAAAAATTAATTTAGGTAATGACGAACATTAATAACACTTGGAGGAGTAATAATACTGTATTAACTTTTGGCCGTTTCATGTATACAGTGGCACCTCGACATACGATTGCCCCTACTTACGTTAATTTCGAGTTACGATGTAAATTTCATAGAAAAATGCGACTCGACATGCGATGGTGTCATCTACTTCCGATATTTGTTGGTACACGTTGGGGTCGACCGAGCACGTGGTTCCCGGTCACGCGGCCGACCTGCCTCAGTTTACTACAGCTGCCCGCTTAGTGACGATTGCGCCTATAAGAAATTCCGCTTCTGTGGTGATATTTTTGCATTTTGAACATTATTATATATCATGCCATGATTCCCGGTTAAGTCAGTGGTAAGTCTCAACATATGAAAACCCATGTAAGGATGACCATAGAGCAGAAACAAGAGTACAGAATGTCTCTTCCTCAACAATTAAGAAAATGTGTGCAGCATGGGAAGAATTGCAAACCTTTGCTGAAACGACTCGCCCAAATTAACACTGTCACCGAGCAGGCGTGCGGTCAACTTAGGGGTCATGCACCCGGTGTGCGGGCAAGTGCGCGGCGACACCTAAATGTGTATACTCGTTTCAGCTTTCTCGCCTTAATTCTTGTGCTACGTTGCTCGTTTTCGTATCATTGTGTTCGCAATTCAACAATGTGTATGAATATATTGTACAAAAGTCTGGAGTGCCTCCCCGCAGAAAAGCCTAAAGTTACCCGTGAACGAGCACCAATTTGTACACTGCAACCTAATGTGTATACTCATTCAGTTTGATAACGTCAATTTTCGTGTTACGTCTTTCATTTTGGTATCAAATTGTTCGCAATAAAAAGGCGCGTATTTTAAAACTAGTCCCATAATGATAGAGCAATAACTGGAATTTTAACAAATATTTTAATTCTGGAAGCTCATCATCACAAAATTATTTATCTTTCCAGTGTTCTGACAAATTTGTGTGTTACATCTTTCATTTTGGTATCAAATTGTTTGCGACGTAAAGCCGCGCATTTTAAAACTAGTCCCAACATAATAGCACAAATAGAATTTCAACAAATATTTTTTGTAGTGGACGCAAGTTCGGTTCAAAGTTAGAACTCAGGAGAAAAATAATGGACGCGAGTCCGGTCCAAAGTTACCGATAGTGTTAAGCTGCAGTAGAAATTCTGAAATAAAATGCAGTATTTTCAGAAACACAGTACTGGTAATATAAAATGGTAATATCAATATCTGTTTTTCACATGAACACAGTTCAACAACTAGCCGCTTGGTGTTGGTGCCTCCTCTGGTACGCCGATCAGCTGTTGTATATGGCGAGTTTGCAAGGCAATGTTTTCTACTACTGTAATGTAGTGTGTGTGTTAACATTATATTATACGGTAATACCTACCTAATACTGTTCAATACGTTAAATAAAATTACCAAACTCGAGTTTCAGTACGAAATAATTGTGATGGGCTGAGCGCGTTATGACAAGTGGTGTACAATGAGTGTTAGGCTGGGCATTTCACCTTTATCTCTCAGTGGAAAAGGTTCACATTTTATATCCGGCAGACAAATAGACCCCCGGTTTTGGAGAGAGACTCAAGCTTCAAATGTCAACTTATATGCCGGCATATACGGTAATTTACAAACCGTATTTCACACCCAAATGAGTAAATCTTACCTGCCAGCATTTGTCGCAGTAACGCATAAAAGGTCTGTTCTTTATTCCACAAGTAAGACAATCCCAACGTTCAGCTGCCAACTCTGGATCATTATCTAAACACTGATCATCCGTGTCAGAATCGTCTGCCCAAAAGTCTTCCTCAGACTCATCCTGCGCCGAAACATGAAGCGCATACACTGCTACATCAACATCCTGAAAAGATAAAAGGGAAAGAACCATGTTATTCATAGTCTTCATTTTTATTAAAAATAATATATGATTTACTGTGCAGTATTAGAGAAAAATTTGGTTGTACATGGTTAATAACATTTGTGTCAAATTTAGAAGTAGTGGATGAATTTGAAATGAACGTGTGCTGTATGCCATCGTATACAACCTAAGCAATCTAATGGGTTTCAAGAAATACTCCTAGAATTTGGGGATTTCTCACACATTTCTTCTCATTTATAATCTTTTGGGATTACGTTCTTGAATCAAGGCACTTGCTAAAAGTCCTGAAACTCCTGCTGTTGCTTCTCGAGGTAACTCATTGAAGAAATTCACATTATACGCTGCATAAAAAACAGAACTTGTAAAAAGACACCTGGAGAAAGTGTGTAACAAAAGCAGTAAGACCAGATTAGACATCACTATGGTTACTGAAGGCAGCTGCAAGAATCTTCTCATTAACTTAAACTTCAGTATTCACCATAAGTATTCATAAGAGTATTCAGTATTCATAAGAGACAAGGGCCACAGAGGGGCACGACAGCTGAATGGACAACGCTCGGGATTCATAGTCCTGAGGTTCCGGGTTCGAGCCCCGGTGGAGATGGAAACAAATTGGCAGTTTCTTTCACCCTGATGCAACTGTTCATCTAGCAGTAAATAGGTACTTGGGAGTTAGACAGCTGATACAGGCTGCTTCCTTGGGGTGTGTAACCGAAAGGAGGCCTGATCAAGGACTGGACCGCAGGGACGCTAAGCCCCGAAATCATCAAGATAACCTCAAGAAGGGGAGCTACCAGAAATCTGGAAAAAGGCAAATGTAGTTCCAATATTTAAGATGGGACAGACATGACTCACTAAACTATAGATCAATATCATTAACATACATTCCATGCAAAAATGTAGAAAAAGGCATCAGATAAAGAATTGTAGAACATTTGAGGGGTTAAGAGTAAGTTTTACAACAGAGGCACAATACTGCTCTAGACGTAAAATCATGCTCATTAAACTTTACTGAATTCTATGATGAGGGTCACCACAATAACACAAGAGAAGGAAGGATCGGTAGACTGCAGTTTCCTAGACTATCAAAAAAGCTCTTGATACAGCTCCTCACAAAAGATTAATACACAAGCTAGAGAGAAACGGGGATAACGGGAGAGGCACTGGACTGGGTAGAGGAATACTCGACATACAAGAAACAAAGCGCTATACAGGTAGTCAGAGAATGTTATGCTGGAAAGAAATGGAAAGTTGTGTTCCACAAGGCTGTCCTAGGACAGTGCTCTTTTGTAGATGATGCAAAGTTATTGAGAAAACTGAAGGGATGTGGGATGCTGCAAGAAGACCTTGATAAGTTTCACAACTGGACAGATAAATGGCTGCTGGAATTAAATCCACAAAGTGCAAAGTAATGAAAATGGTCCAACGTTACTTCCCTTGGATCACCTGCGTGTACAGTATGCCAATGCAATATGGCTAACTACTCACAGTGGTCATCAAGATGAGTAATGAACAGCAATCTGCAACAATGGGTAAGCAAGTTTGGCTGAAAAACTAACATTCTTGGTAGTTTCATTGTCAACATGTTGGTATGTCAACATACTATTGATGTAATGGACAATTAGAATCTAGAATTTGGTACCACTGAATTTGGACAAACTGGAAAGGTTTTGTATTTATGTTGCTAATAAAACCTAACCCAACCATCCTAGGCCTAATGCCCACTATCTAAGGCCTAATATAGTAGACATATGTACTATACTAGGCCTAGGAATTTTTAAGCTTGGTTTTTAGCTATATTTTTGGGGGCACTCTTTATAAAGTGAATACTGTAGTACCCAACATTATCTAATTGTCCATTACATGTCAGTACTGTATATGTCGATAGTCAACATAGTTACAAAAAGTACTATCTAAAAAGGAGGACGAGTTGCTTACAACAAATAATTAACTACACCATAAAGGAAAGGCAATTACACGAAACATGAGAAAAAGACTTGAAAGTAGACATAATACCAACATAACACTAGAAGGGTTCGTTCTCGACTCGCAATTGGGAATTCCAGGTTCGAATCCCAGGCGGGACAGATGGTTGGGTGCGTTTCCCATTACCAAACCACACAACACAATCGACATGATAATGGAAACCGAAACGTTGTCGTCTCTTCATCTTCTGGTGTGTGGTTTGGTAATCAAAGGCATAAACTTGAGAAAGTTCAGAGGCTGAACTTGAGAAAGTTCAGACATTAGTACCAGAATTGAGAGGCCTCAACTATGAGGACAGGATTTGAGAACTCGTCCTCGCAACCATAGAGGAAATAAGTAACAGAGGGGATATGATGACTATATAAAAGATCTTGAGAACAGACATATGGACAAAAATATATTTTAACAAGTCGAACAGGAGGACATCAGTGAAAGCTGGATGCAATCTGGTCAATTAGATGTAAGGAAGTTCTCATTAGCTGTACGGGTAATCAGCAAGTGGAATGCATTGAAGGAAGATTGTTGAAGCCAATTTCATCCACAATATGGAGGAAAAAATAATTACATTTTCAGGGAGTCATTTAGCATGCCTAATATAAATGGCTAGGAGGCAGGGCATAGAGAACGTTATGTTACTCCCCCGTAGCCATTGATAAGTAAGCACTTGGGGTGTCTGCATGCAGGTGTTGGCATACGGGTGTCTGCATGCAGGTGTTGGCATACGGGTGTCTGCATGCAGGTGTTGGCATACGGGTGTCTGCATGCAGGTGTTGGCATACGGGTGTCTGCATGCAGGTGTTGGCATACGGGTGTCTGCATGCAGGTGTTGGCATACGGGTGTCTGCATGCAGGTGTTGGCATACGGGTGTCTGCATGCAGGTATTGGCATACGGGTGTCAGTGCATAGGTGTAGGGATGGTATTGCCAAGGAATTGTTGTTAACAGTGGCGGCAATTGCATGGTTTTCACTGATCCATAGTGTCATGACTAGAAAAGGATCACTATTTACCCTGGGAAAGTGGGAGATTGTGTGAAAGATCTATCTTGAGATGATTTCGGGGCTTAGTGTCCCCATGGCCCGGTCCTCGACCAGGCCTCCTTTTTGTTACACACCTCCCGGGAAGCAGCCCATAACGGCTGTCTAACTCCCAGGTACCTATTTACTGCTAGGTGAACAGGAGCACCAGGGTGAAAGAAACTGCTGATTTGTTTCCGCCTCCACCGGGGATCGAACCTGGAACCTCAGGATTATGAATCCCGAGCACTGTTCACTCAGCTGTCAGGCCCCCATTTACATCGCTTACATCGTGCACTAAATTGCAAAGCCAAAGATTATACCCAATGTAGAATTTGCCATTATTTATACTGTATATGTATTCATTTAAACATTTACAATAAAGTAAAATGGTCGGAGCTGTTGCTTGTAGATTAACCACAATTCTACACTCCTCTTTTATGCATGTAAAAATTCATATAAATACTGTATGAATTTTTTGTTTTATTTCATTTTTTATATACATATTATGTCTAACGTTGAAAAAGTTGGTCAACAAATAATTTTGGGTGTGGAATGTATCTCGACTCTAACCATGGCAGTCAATGGATAAAATATTATTTACCAAATAGAGCATCAAATTCTTTTTCAGGGAATGCATCTCATTCGTTAAGTGCAGTCCACCTACATAATACCATAATTATTATAGTATTACAGTATACTATAATAATATATAATATACTATACTATATATATACAGTATACTATAATAATAATACAATATTACAGTATTATAGTATACAAGGCAATAATTTAATGCTAGGAATCTAAAAATATAAATAATATATTCACAGGAAGGTACAATGGGTTGGTAAGATAAAACAAGACCGGTATTGGTACACTCTTGCAAAGCCACTAACACGCATAGCAATTCGGGGTAATAAATATATTTATTCAAAACACAGTATGTGTAATGAAGGATAAAGCTAGATATTGCCACAACCTGCAGATTGTTTGCAACATAAAAACTACTGACAAACACCTCTTGGAGAAATATTAAACACTATGTGGATGATATTGCTCAACACAGAGCACGGCTGGATTAGCCGAGGACTGCCGAGAGAGGCAGTTACCTTGGGATGGTTATCTTGAGATGATGATTTCGGGGCTTTTAGTGTTCCCGCGGCCCGGTCCTCGACCAGGCCTCCACCCCCAGGAAGCAGCCCGTGACAGCTGACTAACACCCAGGTACCTATTTTACTGCTAGGTAACAGGGGCATAGGGTGAAAGAAACTCTGCCCATTGTTCCTCGCCGGCGCCCGGGATCGACCCCGGGACCACAGGATCACAAGTCCAGCGTGCTGTCTGCTCGGCCGACCGGCTCCCCTGGCTAAGCCCCGTTAAGCCCCGGGTTTCGGGGCTTAGTGTCCCCGCGGCCCAGTCCTCGACCAGAATTCATTATACTTTATGAATTATTTCATGTATTTCTTTTAATGACTTGGTAATAACTTGCAGTTCAGCAATTTGAAGTTTTATACAAGAAATATTTTCTGGGAATTAGCTAGTCATTGTGAAATGGCAATTCACCAACACAAAATTTGTATTAATAATTATGCAAATGTTAGAAATATTTTATGACAGGATTAGTGTAGATATTAATATTTTGTAATTCAATGTGATGTGTACACTGAATTTAAAAAAATTGTTCCTGGCAAGGTTAGGAATCGAGTTTTGATTTCATCTGCTGCAACGGATCGAGTTACCGATCTAGTAAATACGTATCAAATTGTTAACCTACCTCAACCATAGAATCGTCATCATCAGAATGTTCTTCTTCCCTGGCATCATCTGAAGCTATTTCATATTCTTCAAAAGATCCGGTCTCTATCTCGTCTACATCACTTTCCTCAAACTCGGTGTTACGACACAGTGCTAAAACAAGAAAAAGAGTTAGGAAATTACTCGTCATTTTACATCTTAATAGTGATTCAAGCCAAGGCCTAAACGAAATGGAAAGATCCAATTCTGGTCAAAGGTTTGGCAGGATTGTATGCATCAGTTAAGAAATGTAGATGTTTCTCTCTCAGAATGTTTGGTAATATATTTATTGTTTATGATGTGTGTATATATATGTATTAACATGATGTACTGAACGGGGTGAGAATAGCTTGAGCTACCTCATCCCTTTGTGTGTATTTTACCTCAAACTTATTTCAATTTCAATGCATCAGTAAAAATGGCAGGAGTTACTAATAACATACAGACATTAAATTTTTGGCACTAATATGAACATTATAATGGTGACGATGAGTCACAATAACGTGGCTGAAGTATGTTGACCAGACCACACACTAGAAGTTGAAGGGACGACGACGTTTCGGTCCGTCCTGGACCATTCTCAAGTCGATTGTCCCAATCGACTTGAGAATGGTCCAGGACGGACCGAAACGTCGTCGTCCCTTCAACTTCTAGTGTGTGGTCTGGTCAACATTATAATTGTGAGATACTATGTAAGTGGGTCCAGAACAAAACCTAATGGAGTGAGACTCCACCAAACAGCACAATATTTAAACCCACAATAAAAACTTACAGTTAATATTACAAGTTCCAGTGTTCATATTTCGACTACATTCACAATGTAACCACAATGCAACAGGGCAAAGTTCTGTATCAATGAAAAAATTTAAGGGGTGGATTTTCCACTTAGGGTGGATTTTATACAATTATTTTTAAATGGAATGTAAAATTACGACTGGTGCGGAACCGATAGTAATAAACACGTCGTATATTTACGACCCAGGAGCGCGAAAGTGCTCCTGTTAAAAGAAATTTAACATCCCTGCAAAAACATACAATGTAACTGTCCCTATATTCTGCCTGTTACAACTTGTAATAAAAGTTGTTAAATCGTGTTATAACATTTTTACGACATATAAGAATGTCATTACAACTTGCTATATAAGTTGTTTACAATTTTTAGGTGTTACAACTTATTCAAATGTTGTAGCAATGTCAGTTTCATTGGTGGGAGGCCCAACCTAGAGTATTTATAACTTGGTAAAATAAATTACCACCACTCTGCAAAGTTATCTTCAATTATGCATAATATTTATTTCAATATTTCTCTTATACATTAAACATCAAATGAGAAACTATTTGATAATACTTCTATAACAGGTTCACAAAGATATAACAAGAAAACGAATAGGTAAACTGAATTTTCCTAGACTATCAGAAAGAATCCGATACCCCTGTACAGCTCTTATTAAATGCTAGTGATTAAAACAGAGATGCAGGCTATTATAATTGGTAAATCCCTGAAATGGGTAATGGAGTACCTCTCAGACAGGAAATAGGGTAACAGAGGAAGGCAGGTCGACAATGTGGGGCTAGTAGTTATATCAGAGAGATGTGGGTCAGCAGTTATATCAGAGAGAGATGTGGCCAGCAGTTATACCAGAGAGAGATGCGGCCAGCAGTTATACCAGAGGGGTGCGGCCAGCAGTTATACCAGAGGGGTGCGGCCAGCAGTTATACCAGAGGGGTGCGGCCAGCAGTTATACCAGAGAGGTGCGGCCAGCAGTTATACCAGAGAGGTGCGGCCAGCAGTTATACCAGAGGTGCGGCCAGCAGTTATACCAGAGGTGCGGCCAGCAGTTATACCAGAGAGGTGCGGCCAGCAGTTATACCAGAGAGGTGCGGCCAGCAGTTATACCAGAGAGGTGCGGCCAGCAGTTATACCAGAGAGGTGCGGCCAGCAGATATACCAGAGAGGTGCGGCCAGCAGTTATACCAGAGAGGTGCGGCCAGCAGTTATACCAGAGAGGTGCGGCCAGCAGTTATACCAGAGAGGTGCGGCCAGCAGTTATAAAGAGTGTGTTGCGGCCAGCAGTTATACCAGAGAGTTGTGGCCAGCAGTTATACCAGAGTTGCGGCCAGCAGTTATACCAGAGAGTTGCGGCCAGCAGTTATACCAGAGAGTTGCAAGGAGTTACCCAAGAAAGAATCCCAGGAAACAGACTAAGTGGCCAACCACATTCAAATGACCTCTTACAGATGTGCAACATTTGTCTTAAACCAGCAAACAGAAGAACCAATTAGAAAAAATACACTAGATTATATTTTTACAAACAATGATGAACTGATGAGGGACACATTGATTACTAACACACGTTACTCAGATCACAACCTAATTGAAGTTCAGGCATGCACGGGCAATAGACCTGTGCAGCCAGTTTCAAATCTAAGAGGAGGAGACTTCAATAAATTCAATTTTCAATAGACTAAATGGATACAAATAAACCAAAACTTCACAGAAATATGCTGGGAAAGACAGCTTGATAATGCAAAAAATTGTCGTGCTAGAAAATGGAAGCGGCTGGCAAAGCGATGTACTGTCCTAGGTCCTTGAGAAAATAGGCAGTGGTACAAGAAACACAGTATGTGTAAGTCACAAGTTGGCTGAGCAGACAGCACACTTGACTTGTGATCCTGTGGTCCCGGGCTCGATCCCAGGCGCCGGCGAGAAACAATGGGCAGTTTCTTTCACCCTATGCCCCTGTTACCTAGCAGTAAAATAGGTACCTGGGTGTTAGTCAGCTGTCACGGGCTGCTTCCTGGGGGTGGAGGCCTGGTCGAGGACCGGGGCACGGGGACACTAAAAGCCCCGAAATCATCATCTCAAGATAACCAAATACCACCGAGAAGAAAAACAGATGTAAACTGGAACACGACCAGTGTTCCCTCTATAAGCGACGAAAATAACTTGGTCAATAATTGACCAAGAAAAATTGCGTCACTATTCCAATAATGACAAAAAAGGCCAAGTACAGAAAAAAACGATTGAGCTAAAGTTGCAAGAATCATGTAACGTCCAGGAAAGGCAAAGACAAATAAGTGAAAAGCCGTAAGTGAAATACAGACAATACCCAAAAAATTTTAAATTAACGCTGAGGACTACTAAATACTGTACTGCAGTAAGACAGTGTCAAACAGGCAGTGGATTGAAAGAAACTCCTAGAAAAGAAGGTTCGAATTCAGACTACAGTAGTTAAAACTGGTTTTAGTGAACTACAAAAATGAACATAAATGAACACTGAACATACCAGTTTCATATCCTTGATGGCTATAGACAGATTCCACATCTGAATTGCTGTCTGGAACATCAGGAAAGCAGAGTCCTCGACACACAGGTCCATCTTTGCCCTGTCTAGAGGGTCCAGGAAGATGGATAATGGTATCTTGGTGGTCAGATTCAAGTTTCCTTGAACAATCAGAGGTTACTATACTATTTATATGTTCTGAGGTTGTAGTACTTGTAGGCACTAACACCTCTGTTCTGCCATTAATTTGACTTGGAGCATTATTTACACGTGCACCGATCGCATTCCTCTCGGCTGCACATTCCTTCACTTGTTCACTTGAGGAACCATTTTCCGTGACCAGTGAACATGTTGCATTCGCCCTGATAGGCACCGACACACTTTCTCTCGCCACATTATGAAGAGAGACTGGTTGTGCCCTGATGATGTTCTTGATAATCAAGGATCTGCAACAAGTTAAAATGTTATTTGCTATACAGTACAATGTTAATTAACAAACTACAATGAAGTCAAACTCGGAACAATTAATAGAACCTGATACAAATGGTCAGAATTGAGTGATTGTTTAAAGCTGTAATTGAGGAAAAGTATTTTTATTGGAAATGTAAAAGAAATGGGGGATTTGCAAAAGATGTTACTAATTGTTATCCACCTGAGGGATAAATAACCGAATCCACATAAAAGAAAAACATTTGTAAAAGAAATATCATTTTATTTCTTACACGCCATTTTTACTTTTCAAAATACTGTACTGTACAGTAATTGCCGATACCAACCATTATATATTTAGATATATGGAAACATACATTTAAGCCCCATTTTTCAATACCACGCCCTATCATAATGACACTGGAGTGAACATATCACAAACTAGTTGTGTTGCCCGCATGGAAGCGGATAAAGGAAGGAGTGTTGCCCACATGGGAGCGGATAAAGGAAGGAGTGTTGCCCGCATGTTATTCACTAATCTATTCGGGAGCCGGTCGGTCGAGCGGACAGCACACTGGACTTGTGATCCTGTAGTCCTGGGTTCGATCCCAGGCGCCGGCGAGAAACAATGGGCAGAGTTTCTTTCACCCCATGCCACTGTTACCTAGCAGTAAAATAGGTACCTGGGTGTTAGTCAGCTGTCACGGGCTGCTTCCTGGGGGTGGAGGCCTGGTCGAGGACCGGGCCGCGGGGACACTAAAAAGCCCCAAAATCATCTCAAGATAACCTCAAGATAACCGTATATTTAAAATTGGTTCTAAATGTGGCCAGTGTATAAAACTAATACTCTACACCTAAAAAGCTGAGATAGGCATAAGAGGCTAACAAATTTAATCCCTCTGTAATACTGAAGAAATATGAAAGAAATCTATATTTAAAAGCATAGCCAAAAAGTTGCAATGATGACATCTTTAACCATTCTAGTAATGTATGAAAAAATTAAGGTTTAGAACATAGGTGAAAAGCTTCTTCCCGAGAAAGACCAGTTACTGCCTTAAGAGTTCGGGAAGGTTGACCTTTCACACATTCACAACAGGAATATTTTCAAAGTGCCTATCGTATCATACCTTCCCAGTGCTACTCTGGCTCACACACACAGCCAAGGAATGCTCTGCTAATCACCAGTTTATCTTGGAAGGAGTTGGAGTGCAGCTGAATAAATCTTTAAAGGTATTCCAAGCTCAAGTTTGTACAGTATTCTCTATTATACCGTATCTTGAGGTTATCTTGAGATGATTTCGGGGCTTTAGTGTCGCCCGGTCCTCGACCAGACCTCCACCCCCACGAACAGTTCGTGACAGCTGACTAACACCCAGGTACCTATTTTACTGCTAGGTAACAGGGGCATAGGGTGAAAGAAACTGCCCATTGTTTCTCGCCGGCGCCCTGGATCGAACCCGGGACCACAGGATCACAAGTCCAGTGTGCTGTTATGCCCAGAAGGGGAGGATAACCCCCCCAAAAAAGCATTTCCAACATCATAACGAATTAAAATATGTCAATTTGCCCTGACTGCGCATAGTCCTGTCCATGAGAACAGTTCGACCTTACCTAACAGCACAATCCAGCAGTGAAGCTCGGTGATGTATAACTGGTTATAGGTTTGTTTTATTTAACATTAACTACGGCAATGTCATTTCATTTTTACATTAGAAAAAACACAAAATTAACATCAGACAAATAGTTCTTTTTGCTTTTAAAAGTTTCTCAATCTAGGATAGAGAAAATGATATGGAAGCCTATGGAAATTAAAGAAATAGTACAGTAAATGAGGGGTAACTTAAATATTGTCAACAAACACTATTTATACTACTGTATACTAAAAAATTTAACTTTTGTTTACTGAAAATAATAGCACAAAAAAGGTACTATACAGTACATAAAAATTATATACTGTAATACTGTGATGTATAATATAATACAACCATACAGCTATGTTAAATTATTAAGTGAAAATAACTGCTGCCGAAACAAATGCATCTTGCCAGCCGATCACTGACAATAGTGTGTTCAAGCTATATATTAGTATTAAAATTTATTAAAAAAAAATGCTGGGTAGGCGACAAGGGTGAGCGAGCAAAAGATGACCAATCGTCATCTTCCCCATCCTGTCATCTTATAAAGAGTGTCGCATTTCGCATGTATACATTACATAAGGCCAAAAATTGTCGTACTAGAAAATGGAAACGGCTCACAAAAGTGACATACTGTCCCGTTTTCTGTTTTGGGTCCTCTGATAAGTTAGGAGAGGACACTTTAAATTTACCGTTTTCTTGACATTGAGAAACCTTTGGAGGACAGGCTGCTTCCTCAGTAACCTAGGAATGTAGCCCTAACCCATAACATTAGGCCTACGAGGTTTATGTTTCACTCAACATCCTTTTCAGCTAAAGTCATAGTTTTTAGGAACATAACTCCTACATTAAATTGACAGTCTGGCTCATCTGTATATGGCAAAGCAATCGACTTGATAATGGTCAAGGACGGACTGAAACGTCGTCTCTTCACTTTCTAGTGTGGGGTCTGGTCAACATATGGCAAAGGTTCCCAGGGTGTTGTCGGCACAAGAATTGGTAGTATTTCCTGGCATCACAACACAGGTGCAGAAAATCTGGTTCATTTGTTTTTTGAGATATGACCTTAAATCTTACCATCAACCCGTGTCCCATCCCTGCCAATTTGTATATAATAATGGTCCTTAAATTTTTTACCATTATATGCAAGTCTTGAAAGTTTCATGCCAATATACAAATGGTGTTCTCCAGATACTGCACAGCCATTGATAATGATTTTGGAAAAAAAAAAAAAAAATTGGGTATCCTCAATGGTGATACCCAATTATTCACCCTTGGGCTGAACAGTAGAGCGACGGTCTCGCTTCATGCAGATCGGCATTCAATCTCCGACTGTCCAAGTGGCTGGCTACCATTCCTTCCCCACCCCCCGTCCCATCCCAAATCCTTATCCAGACCCTTTCCAAGTGCTATATGGTCGTAATGACTTGGCGCCTTCCCATAGCAATTCCCGCCCCACCCACAAAATAAAGAGAATACTTATTGTTTAGATAAGTATCAACAGTAATGTACAAGCATCAGAATTGAAAGAGTATCAAGTACTTCCATGAGAAGATATGCTCACCTGACATCATTGTAGTGGAAGCGATCAACTCGTAGAACATCTCCCAAGGGATCATTTTTACAGTTGACAAAAAGAATATCTAGAGGGTCAAAGAGATGCTTTTTGCTATAAAGGTAATTCTTTAAGAGCAGCAAAATCTGGAAAAAAAATCCCAATTATAAATTTAATTTTGCTAATTTGTAATGAAGAACAACATAAAGCCTAAGCTTCTTTTTATGTCTTGTTCCAAAGACAATTAATCTCCGAGAAACTTACTATAATACCGTAATGTTACGTTTAAACTGAAGACAAGATTGAAAAGTCAAAAGTCAAATTAGGGGAAACAACACCAATGAAGGAGCAAATCTTTTTCAATAGAACGTATATTGAAATCAAACAGGTTTGCAACAGGTTTGCAACAGAGAATCATCTTAACTTCAAGACATGTTACAACACTAATTCAATTTCAGATTCTCCCTCCAGTCTTTCTCACAGCTAATGCATACCTGTCTTTGTATAATATAGTGCTGTACTTCATTAATATTTCACACATGTTTATGGACTTGAAATAAATCTAAAATTCCTAAACTGTCAACAAAGCTTTATTTTGCCAATTAGACAAACTGAAGATTCTAGTATCTACTTTAGCCTCAAACTCATTTTCAGTACCATAAGAAAAAAAATTAAGGGTTTTATCACAAAATTACCGAGCAAATAGGAAACATGACGTTAATACACCTTTGCAAAACGTAAGTACTGTACATTAACATTAAATCTAAAAAGCTACCATTTTAAGGCAATACCAATTGTTTCCATTTAAACCATGAACTGATACTATATTACTGCAGAGAAACACAGAAGTGCTCAATGTATTAGGCTCATGCATGCTCGACAATATTTGGTAAAATCTTGCCATGTATCAATAGGAAAAATAATTCACAGCTTATGGAAGGCAATGCAAACCATTTTCTGATGCTTCCTACAAAATATGGAAAGAAATGCACATCCCAACACATTATGATGCAAGGCTTCATTGTACTTCTGTTATACAAAGTATTTGCATTCAATTCTGCATTCACAGTGTTTCCATTACTCTCTTTTGGGATCTTTAACACCCTAGGTAGCACAGGGACTGATCTTAGTTACCCATGAAAGCACCAGCGAGAGAAAAAAAAGTGTGTATTAAATGAGGACTGTCAAAATTTAAGTGACACCACCACCAAGTGGTGTTTAAATGGAAAGACCCATAAATGAAGAAAAACATCCTGGAATCTAATTTACCTGCCTTCTCAAAAGTGCTTCCATGAATGACCAAGACCAACTGGTCTAATATCTAAATGAAGAAATACAAATCTTGTATAAAATTAATTTATTGATCTAGCAAAGGGTAAAGAAAACTTAATAAAAGTAGAGCGTACGAGCAAAAGAAAGCCTCTTACTTGCCAAAGTAAAGGCAGCAGCAATGCTCAGGGAATCAAGGTGGTGTGCAGTGTATGTGCAGTGTACGCACAGTATCTCACAGTTCACAAGAGCAGATAAGCCGGCAAGCATACTTGCCCCTAAGGGACACACACAACACACATACATAGTTTAAAAAACGGATAAATACACATTTAGAGAACATGGTATAATATGAGGCATGAATAAAGTATCCAAGTTAAATCCAAGGTTCCAAGTAGCTTATAGTAACTAAATTCCTAGTACAGTACACACAGAAATCACAAGAGTGTGATGGATCAAAAGAACAAATCCACAAAGCCCGTGAAGAGGGTTCGAACCTACACACGGGAGGTTTTCAGCTGCGCCTTAAGTCAACTGTGCCACGACATGGTTAAAAGAATTGCAACCTGGACTGCTACTGCCCTCACTAGGAACCCGAAGCTTCGCCAAAGCCCAATCGGAGTTTCACACAATTCCCCCCCGTGCACCCGGGCTCTGTCAACCAAATTTTCTACCTCTACGCCCTTACTTCAATACACTTGTGGATTTGTTTAAATTCCTAGTCTTTTGCCCGAGACCTCTATTCAATATTGCTACTTAGCATTTGTCAGGTTAATAAGCTAAAAATTAATTCCCCCTGGGCATCCATGTCAGGTGAATAATAATAAAAAAAAAATCACAACTGTCAGAAATAATGTAGCAGAATGAACGAGCAAATATATATCCCTTCATGATCACCATTTAACAAATGTCAACAAACTCCTCTGATCAAAATTGGATATAGTGTATCCAATATATACACTATATAAACCTGTCTTACAACTATCCTTAATGGCAATGACTTAGTTGCAGAGTCTTGGATGGATTAATCCAAGACCCTGCAGACATAGTGACCAATACTTCAAAATGTTCAGGCCATTTTCTGTGTTTACACAAAGGTCAATCACGGACTTTGTGCACCACTGCAATGGGGATTATCTTGAGATTATCTTGAGATGATTTCGGGGCTTTAGTGTCCCCGCGGCCCGGTCCTCGACCAGGCCTCCACCCCCAGGAAGCAGCCCGTGACAGTTGACTAACTCCCAGGTACCTATTTACTGCTAGGTAACAGGGGCATTCAGGGTGAAAGAAACTTTGCCCATTTGTTTCTGCCTCGTGCGGGAATCGAACCCTCGCCACAGAATTACGAGTCCTGCGCGCTATCCACCAGGCTACGAGGCACCCCAGTGGACAGTGAAGTTGTGCTATATTAAGCCAACATGTGGCTAATATGGAAGTATGTGTCAATGTATTTGAAATGTTGCTCTGAATGCGCACAAGAAAATACTGAGCATTCCCAAAGATTACAAGATGTGCGAATACACGACAGAGATGGGTAACACCATTCCAAAAATTAATATGTAGGTGAAAATTATGGCAAGAGATGAAGCAGAAGATATAGATCTCTAAATACAATACCAGGTCCAAGAATGTTAGGATACATTACAGTAATAAATTGTTAAAAGCATGACAAGGTCTATCTCTTTCTCTGAAGAACCAAAATTACAGAAACTAATGAAGAGTAATTTGAAATAAAATATTCAACTAGAAATTACATTTGGATGCTAATACTGTACTGCAGCCAACATAAGATGACAATACAGCCATAAATATAAGGACACCCATTTCAGTTTAAGAAAATATATGAAACATTCAAATTCAAAACTACAAAAACTTAAGTATACTTCAACTTAGTACAACAAAAACATCTGAATCTACACACCAAGCCAATATGGGCAGTAAACATCCCTGGCAATATTAGTACCTCTTTGAAATTGTAGGGTTTAGCGGTGGCTCCCACCGAGGCAAAAGTGGCTCTAAGAGCAGGACTAAGGTAGTACATATTAATGAAAGTGGAATTTTGCGTTTCTGCTCCATTTTCATTACAACCACTGCCGCCTCTTCCTGCCTCAGACCCCACCACCTGATTGGGAGGTTGATGAAACTGGCGATCAGCGCCATTCCTGCTGGCAATGTTCTCGGCTACAGGTCTGGGTGACAAGTGGTTCTCCTGGCTCTGTAACCCCCCACCGCTAATACCACTGCTTATGCACAGAGTCGAGGGACTGGATGGGGGGCTACTACTGGCGACCTCTCCGCAGCTCTGCAGAGGGAGTACAGCCAGGGATCGTGCTGCCTCTGACAGGTCGGGGGCCATTTTCCACTCCCTCTCCTGCTCTCCACCCTGAAACACCATTGCTATCACTCCATGATCAACACCATCATTCATGTTATAAATGCTTCTTATTAAACTTTAATATTTCCAATTTTTAATATTTCAAATATCTTTAATGGATTTAAAAAAATGCAATAATCTCAAGGGGTCATTCAATATTCTATTATAATATATATTATTTTATGCAGTTTTCTTTTAGAGTACAGACCCATTGCATTTTTAAAAGAGGTTTAAATGTGCATTCTATTAGGTATTGTACTTAAATGCCATCTATTTACATTTTCCACACCAAATATGTCAAATTATCAAACATTGATCATTATGAAGCAATTATTTATATATAAATTAATTAGATGCAGTCTAAATATTTAGTGGTTATGAAATACTAAATGGAGGAAAATATTATCCTGTGTGTCTTGCATGATTTAACTCGTTCAAAATGCTCTCACACCACCACCACCTCTATTCATGTAATACAGTATTTATTACATGAATTACATGAATACAGTATACTGTACCTTGACTGACAGGCACGGTTCCTGTATTTAGTTCTACATAAGAATGTTTAATCAAAATTGTAACCTCAAAAGTAATAACCACAAATCAATTTCTCTCACAATATACATTAAAATTTATGGTCTGACTGTATGAAATTCCTTTCTTTGTAAACAGAGTTTGTCACTGTTGGTATACATTGCATAGAGATGCAGTTCTGTAATACCATTATTCCTGAATATCATCATTACATCACATGTTCATCTCATAATTGCAATATTCAAAATTAGAAAACAAGTACAGTACTGTAGCATCAATATCCTCGTACGTTGACACTCAAGAACGACGTAATGAAAATAAGCCAAGTAACTTAAGTTATTTGGTTAAGTTACCAAGTGATTTAAGGTACTTAGTTACACACTAAGTACTGTATTAGCCCTTTTTGTCAGTACTCAGTTTAAAATACACACATAATTTTTCACAGCCTATTTTACCATCCTTCAAGGCTTATGAAAACACTTATGTTTAACACTTATATAAGTTTTAACACTTATGAAAAATTGAGTTTGTTAATTATATACACCAACACAATTTTAGTCTGACAAAGTTAGTGCATTAATTTTCCTTATTTTAATAAAATGGAGCCAAGAGGCATCCTCATATTTACTTTTCCTCCGAGGCACCACGCTAAAACTACGAAACTTGATGCTCATAGACACATTTGCGGCTTTATTAAAAATCACTCAACAGAACTAGTCAGCCTTGTTCACTACTACAGGTTCTTGGCCAAGTTATTTATTTGCCTTCTCATTACCAGTTGCCACTCCAACGACCAACCTTCATTATTTAGAATACCATACTGTATTATTAATTTGAAGAGAGCCGACTGTCTACTACAAACCATACCTGAAAACTGGATTTGGCTCAGAATCCCAAATCAACAGTTCAAATCAAAGAAATGTCCTTCAAGCAACTTTCAGACACTAAGGAGATATGGTACAAAACCTCAAAATGGGTAACATAAATCTTATCGTTCAATAAACTGGACTTTTCAGTGACTACTGTTTACTTTAGAGGGTACAAGAGTAGAAGGTTTTCCGACTCTTGCTTGCAGGCTCAGCTAAACCTTGCTCCTTGACTTCCTCAGAACATGATCTGCCAATCATTTGGCATCCTGGTCCCCCAGTTACTACTGGGTACACAGAGAAGGAACGGTGCCCAATCGTCCTTCACTACCCAGGATTGCAACGCACTGAATATTTCAGAGCCCTTGCCTGAGGTATGTCAATTTAATAACTGGTCCACAGCATTCTGTTAACTATGACCTGTCATTATGTAAACACCACAAAAAGCCTTTATTAAGTATGTCCCAAATTGAGGCTGTCATATCCATTACTGAAAAAAATTGAAAGATTCATGTAGTTCACATGTCAGCTCACTCCAATTTAATTGCAAATCATTATTTGTGGTCCTGTGATCAGAAGGTGCAAGAGACCATATAGAGCACTGTTACGGCATCCTGGTTCTCATGCTTTCAGTGACTTGTAAAAGGTAATTATCAGGAGAAAGCACCACACTAGCATCACCACAGTACCTAGCAATCACAGTGGCTCATGACTATATTCTGCAGATTCTCAGATTCTTGTGGCTTTTCTTTATTCTGTTAACATTTACAAACTGCATTTGTACCAAGTGTCCATCAATGGGATAATTTAAAATAGTTACTCCATAAAAAATCTTTATATGTATTTTGTATACAAAGTCAAGCTATTAAAATATCTTTTAAAGTATTTTCCCTGTAATATTTGCTGCATTTTTCTTTGACTTTGATGCAAACAGGGTATTAATTTATATGTACTAAACATTATGCTTTTAACATACTGAATGTTTAGCCCATCTTACAAGTACTGTACTGTATTTCTAAATACAATATTTTAAGCCTCAGAAATTGTGAACTTTGATAGAACACTAAGCCACCAAGCATTCTTACACGTCTTAATAATAGTATAGTACCTATTACAGGTACAGTACTTTTTCAGTCTTCAGAAAAACACATTTAATTCACACAAAGCCCAAGTTTGGAAAAGTATTTATAATTATTGCCTGCATATCTCATTCTGTAATAAAAGGGCTATGAACTCTCCTTTATTTTTGTTATCGTAATTAAATGCGCGACCCAAATTATTAAGAGGGCGGCATGATGAAGGCTGCCACTGTACCGAGCTGTGGAGCGCAACACCTGATGGTCAGTTGATCCAAGGAAGCATCAGAACTCAGGGACGGGAGACAACGCCAACCTTTCCACCTTTGGACTCGTAGCGTGCCATTGCACATGTTCTTTATCATTATTATTATAAATACATTACAGTAATAATTATAATAATAATAATTACTGTATATAAAAATTATAATTATATAATAATTAATAATTCTTATAATTATAATATAATTACAATAACTTAATTTTTACAACTACAACACTGTACAGTACTATAAAAATTAGTATGTGCAATTATAATTTGATGCAAGACATTGTGTCCTGTTACAGCCTAGAGTAGTGAATACGGTATGTGGGTAGGAATACACGCTAATTAATAGAATGCATGCTTCACACACATCTTTGCACGTAACCACACTATCCTAACCCTATCCTAATAAATAGGAATAGGTGAAGCATACCATCTAACATGCCTGTTGAAAATCAAAATACAAAATATATCAATTCATTGTATTAAGGGACAGGCAGTTACTTATATCGAGATCCCCATCCCCTCAGACTGAACTACTGACCATCCCCCTGGATGCAACCCCACATCAAGCTAGCTAACTCCTAGCTACCTATTGACTACTAGGTGAACAGGTGCATTAGGTGGATAGGAAGCACGCCCCCACCATTTCTGTCTTGCTTGGGATTCAAACCCGGAATTCCCAAATGCGTGTCGAGAGCAAACCCAACTGTACTGCCACAATTAAGTTAGAATTCATTGATGTAACCTGTAACTCCTAACTGTACTCACTTAATTGTGCTGGTGGGATCGAGCTCTAGCTCTTTGGTCCCGCATCTCAACTATTGAGCAACAGGTTCCCGAGACTAACAGGCTCTTATCATATTGACATATAAAATTGTGATTGGGGTCAGCCTTCAACACATCACTTCCTAGTGCATTCCACTGTTAACCGAGTCTTAATAATGTCTCAGACTCATCTTAGCCCTCGGTTTCCACCCGTCCCCCCTTGTGCTAGTACCACCAATGTTAACCACAATCATTAGCTACACACTCAATGCCCCCGAGAATTGAGTGGGTGGTAGGTCTGTATGTGCTCAGCTACCGATATACTTGGCATAATGGAAGAATTTCCACAAACACAGACCTCCAAGCACTCACACTCACACCTTGGCAGAGAGGATTTTCTTGGATTTTCTACCAGCATTGAACCCAATACAGTACTCGAATAATAAAAATTAGCTTGTAATTTATGTAAAACCTTTAATAATTAGCTGTTGTAATAAGCAAGCTTAATCAATTGCTATCACAACACTGCTGTGGTGTTAAGCTTGTTAAATAATATAACAAAACTGCCCTAATTCCCATTCAGGAAAAGAGAAGCTTGACCCTGAGATAACATTAGAAATACTTAATAGTAAAAGATATTTAAATATCTATTTAAATCAATTACTACACCAAATATGAATTACTAACTACACATCATTTAACACTAATGTTATCCGCTTTGTATTAGTCACATCTGACTAATTACTATGTCCATTCATTTACTATCGATTCCAAGTTCGGTCACACGCATAAAAACAAACCTGGAGCCCAACTTGGGATAGCCACCTAAATAAACTTTATGTGGCAACATATGTTGAATTATTGCAGTAAGTACATTGCCTGGTCCGGTTACTGTGCTGCTGATGTGATGTAGTAATTGCGCGAATTCGCCTTGGCTATAGACACATCTGGCAGGTTAGTGAGGCTGAGCCACTACCAGAATATTCAGATTGTAAACTCTGTGATAAACCTTTAATGCACTCACTAGAACACTATATTGATGAATGTGAAACCGTAAAGGACTTTAGACCTCCTGGCCTATTGTACCACCACTGTGTAACTATTTTATTGACTCAGGTGTTCTGGATGACATCCTAACAATTTACCCAAAATTTGCTTGTCCATTTTAAAGAATGAAGAACAATTTCTATTTATATTACTTCTAAGCTGCATCACTTATGAACCCATCCCTGCCCTTGTGTGGCAGTGCACAATAGAAAGTTGTTGTCACATATTCACACATTAAAACATTGATTGTAACCATGATATATATGTGCTTCAGCCTACAGTTTAGACCTATTGTCTTATGTATGACCCTCTGTCCTGCGTGACAGTGAATACTAGCATTAACCTCAATTTAATAAGACTATCAAAATTCTCAGATTAGGCAAAATTGTAATTAATTTTGTCAATAAAGATGTTAATAATAATAATACCAGCCCATGGCGTCAGACGGGTGGCAGGGCGAAGCCTGTATAAGGAATACCACCACCATGCCGGGCAACTCTCCAGATGTGCTCCAACCTTTTCCCACCCTCCCCTCCCCTCCCCTCCCCAGGGCCGGATAGCCCAATAGGCTAAGTAGGTCGTGGCTTAACACCCACCACCATTTTGGTTTTACCATAAAATGGCCAAATGTCAAATAATACATGGAGTAATCAATTACTTGGTAATTGGCTGCTTTCATGTATACAGTTATTTTCTGAAAATGGGAATAAAACTGATAAAATACAGTATAGGAAAATGGCCTCATTGTATTCCTCTGCAAAACTATGCATAATATAACTTATAATTAATCATTACGTATTATTATGATGCGAACTGTCTTCATGTATGTGTTTAGCCATTAAACAGCCACACTGACCAGAGGGCGGGGACCCATTTATCTGTTTTAGCCTAGGGGGTCAAGACCAGTTAGGTCCCCCCCCCCCCCACCACCCTGCCTCCTGGAAGTAGTTGTTGAATTGTTCACTCCCTATTTCATTGACTCAGGTGTTCTGGACGACATCCTAACAATTTATCCAAAATTTGCTTGTCCATTTTAAAGAATGAAGAACAATTTTATTTAAATTACTTCTAAGCTGCATCACTTATAAACCCATTCCTGCCCTTGTGTGGCAGTGCACAATAGAAAGTTGTTTTCACATATTCATACATTAAAACATTGATTGTAACCATGATATATATATGTGCCAGTTTAGAGCTATTGTCTTGTGTATGACCCTCTGTCCTGCGTGACAGTGAATACCAGCATTATCCTCACTTTAATAAGACTTAATTGAAATCCTCAGATTAGGCAAAATTGTAATTAATTTTGTCAATAAAGATGTTAATAATAATAAGTAAGTACAACTTCTCAGCCTACATCTACTCTCCCCCCACACACACACAAGGAAAACCAAGGCAATATCTTACCCTCAAGATGGTCATAAGTAAAATAATTCAATCAAGGCCGAAGTTTTAAGCACAAAAAAAAGAGAACTCTCTCGGTCGGCGTTGGCACTGTTCTATACAGGTGGTGAGTGTGGTGACGACTGCGGCTCTCCTCGCTTACCTCGAGCTGTATGGCCGTCGTTACATGTTGCGGCAGCTGAGAGAGCGCGTCGCGACTAGAAGCCACACGAGACAACTGGTTGCTGACTTGACACGGAGGCGCTGAGGCACGAGACACCAGGAGGCCATAACCAGTCCTGCTTGAACCTGTGTGTGTGTGTGTACACCCGACCATGCTCGCCAACCCTACCTATATCTCCCCCTACTCCCCCTTGCATTCCTCAATCTTCCTCTCTACTTCCTCCCCACTAATGCCTCTTATTTTGTCTCTCGACTACCCCTTTTGAATCGCTGTTTTTAACCTATACTGCATGTGTGGGTGTTTTAAGGTGTTGATTGATTGGATTGTTTGTTAATTTGGTGTGTCAAGGTGTACTGGTCTGGGAGGAGCTCGGTGGTGTTGGTACTGGCTGAGGTGATGCTGAGCGATAATTACCGATATTTGAACTACGCATTTATTTCTACTACGATTTTCACTGTCCTTCATAGTCGTATTCTGATGACTATAGCAATAATTTACTTGGAATTAAACATTTTCCTTCTTTGCATAACACAAATCTTCCGAAATGTGAATAACATACGAGTTATTACAACGAGAGAGATATATGCCAACACCGCCCTGTCAGTCCGGCGTGTAATTGTTTCATTCATTAATGGTGCTTGGAGGCCTACCCTACAGCAGGGATGACAGCCAAGATGCCGGAGGGAAGGAATAAGATGGCGTGTGTGTGTGTATGTGTGTGAGAGAAGAGAGCAGGGGGAAGGTATGACAGAGGACACGGGGGGGTTACAGGCGGCCGTACAAGCTACAACCTGTACACAGGCTGTGACGTAGGCTGCCCCGCCTTCATTCACTGAAGGAAATTTTGCCATCTTTTAAATCTACGGGAATTTGAGGACTTTCTGTCCTCACGGGCATCAGAAAATTACCCACGAGGAAACTGTATTATCATATTGAAAATAAACATACACATTAGCGCACAAATAACGCCTCTTCGATTCTTAAGCCTATATAATAAATATATAATTTGTCCTATTGCCTCTAAATTACTTAATTTGTTTTAATTCAATTATATTTACATATAGGATAATAATATATAGGCTTAAAGAACACGCTTATTTAAAACCAACAAATATAAATACTTATATTAAGGTACCTTAATTGCAGTGCAATTTTTTAACTTTTTAATTTTGCCGTTATTGAAACAATAATTAAAAAAAATTGAAACATATATATGTGACTATAACTTCCCTCATGATACAGAAGATGGGTGTTTATATATGAACTTTATAATAACCTCATTAAATTATCTCTGAGCGTGTATATAATTTTTGAATATACTACTAGATTGATTATACGGAAATCTGTATAAGAAGGCTACACAAAAACCTACAAAATAAACATATAACCAGTGAATTACATAATTATTTCACAGTTAATATTAAATAAATTCCCTTGTTCTAACAGAATTATAGGCCTATATTTTTAGATTATAGTTATTGCCAAATAAGTGCTGGGCCTAGGCTATTTGACCCACAGTTCCCGCTCTCAAGGTCAGAGACAATGAATGAAATTTGACCTGGCCCTGGAACGCGGCTACCTGGACTCGCCTAGTTATGCTTGCGGGGGTTGAGCTCTGGCTCTTTGGTCCCGCCTTGTCTGTCAACTGGTGTACAGATTCCTAAGCCTATTGGGCTCTACCTGACACTGAACAAATTCTTTCTTGGTGGGACCCCAAGCTACACTACTAGCCTGGGATGGGACTCCAAGCTAAGGCCTGGGATGGGACCCCAAGCTACACTACTGGCCTGGGGGTGGGACCCTAATCTCCACACCTCACTGGAGTTCCCAGAACTTTCAGGTGACCTCGCTGTCAGTGTTACCACTGTGGTGTGATATCCACTCCATGGTGCATCATATGTGATAACTCTCCCTCTTTCTCTCTCTCTTTCTTTCTCTCTCTCTCTCTCTCTCTCTCTCTCTCTCTCTCTCTCTCTCTCTCTCTCTCTCTCTCTCTCTCTCTCTCTCTCTCTCTCTCTCTCTCTCTCTCTCTCTCTCTCTCTCTCTCTCTCTCTCTCTCTCTCTCTCACACACACACACACATATATGTAAATGATGATATATGTAAATGATCTCCTGGAGGGTATAGACTCATTCCTCTCAATGTTTGCTGACGATGCCAAAATTATGAGAAGGATTAAGACAGAGGAGGACAGCTTGAGGCTTCAAGAAGACCTAGACACGCTGAAGGAATGGTTGAACAAATGGTTGTTAGAGTTTAATTCAAGCAAAAGTAATGCAATGAAGATAGGTGTAGGGACCAAGAGGCCAGATACTAGGTATCATCTGGGAGATGAAATTCTTCAAGAGTCAGAGAGAGAAAAAGGGGGGGTTGATATCACGCCGGACCTGTCCCCTGCAGCACATATCAAGAGGATAACATCAGCGGCATATGCCAGGCTGGCCAACATAAGAACGGCATTTAGAAACTTGTGTAAGAAATCATTCAGAAATTTGTATACCACATATGTTAGGCCAATCCTGGAGTATGCAGCCCCAGCATGGAGTCCATATCTAGTCAAGGATAAGACTAAACTGGAAAAGGTTCAAAGGTTTGCCACCAGACTAGTACCCGAGCTGAGAGGTATGAGCTACCTTGAGCTACCTACGAGGAGAGACTACGGGAATTAAACCTCACGTCGCCAGAAGACAGAAGAATTAGGGGGGAGATGATCACCACATTCAAGATTCTCAAGGGAATCGACAGGGTTGATAAAGACAGGCTATGTAACACAAGGGGCATACGCACTAGGGGACACAGGTGGAAACTGAGTGCACAAATGAACCAGAGATATTAGAAAGAACTTTTAGTGTCAGAGTGGTTGACAAATGCATTAAGCAGTGATGTGGTGGAGGCTGACTCCATACACAATTTCAAGTATAGATATGATAAAGCCCAATAGGCTTTGGAACCTGTACACCTGTTGACTGACGGTTGAGAGGCGGGACCAAAGAGCCTGAGCTCAACCCCAGTAAGCATAAACAGGTAAGTACACATGACAAAGAGTACTGGGAAGACGGGACACCACGAACGTAGCTCTCATCCTGTAACTACACTTAGATAATTACACACACACACACCTTGACGCGATGCGTTAGAGAAATAAAACAATGACTAGTTAAACCTGAGGTCAACCGTAAGGTAAGTTCAAGTATGTTTATTGAGACAAGAAAGAAATACATCTCATAGGGATAGAGTAGCTTAGGCTATTTCTACCCCCCCCTGAAGGTCAGGCTTCACACGGGCGGATAGTGGTTGTCCCTAGGGACATCAGCTCCCAACACCTAGCCTCGACTAGCCTCCAACATCTGCCCTTACTATTGATGTCAATGTTTGCGTGTGTCATTACACAAGAGGATTGTTTATAGTGGGAGGACGACCTGCCTAAGGATGGTCTCAGTAATGGCTACTAGACTTCAACCAATATAAATGTAAGGTAATGAGAAGGAAAGAGGGGTAAATGATGCATATACAAGAGGCAATAAGGCCAAGTTCGACAAGTTACAATGCTGGACAGCCAAAAGGAGCTTTTTTTCACCCATAAGGTGAATAATACCCATAGAGCCGCCTACCCGCCGAAGCTGTAACTGTCAAGTAATATAGATTTAAACATATATTTTATATATTTTCATAAATACTCATGAAATATGTTTAAATATACAATTTAGAGTGTGTCTTATAATCCTTGTAACCGCGTCTAAGCCGAGCAGAAGTATTTCTGGGAATTCTCATTACCTGTCGATGTAGACCTGACCAAAGGGGTGGGGGGTAGAAGTAGCCTAAGCTACTCTATCCCTTTGAGATGTATTTCTTTCTTATCTCAATAAACACACTTGAACTTGAACCTGACCAAATGTAAACTGTGTCAACAAAATTATTCGCACACCCTCCGTCACTATGTGATGGAGTGCGAAAAGATACGTGAATTCAGAGACAATTCTATAACCAATGTACCAACGATGTGTCAATATTTCATAAATTTTAGCCAAATATCCCCAGTTTGCTAACTGTAGGTAGTAACTAAGTGATTGTAACCTATCCACCGCCGCCCACTGGATGGGGGGCGGTGTGCAGGACAAACATATCAATTGTGACACTAGCTCTCCACATATGTCAGTTGCTTAATTTAGAAACTGTACTTGTGGTCGATCTCGAACCCATTGTTGATGTGACGACTTATACTGAATTTTGTAACTAGCTCATCAAGATTGTAACTTGCTTAGCTAAATGAATTGTGTGGTTCAGTCCCTGAGCCCATTATGTGCCTTTGTAACCCTCTGTACCGCCCACAAGATCGGTATGGGGTGCATAATAAATGAACTGAACTAACTTATAATCCACTGTTCTGGGTGGCAGTGAATATAAGCAGCATTTCACTGCATTAAAACCTAATTAAATTACTCCAATTAGGCAAAATTGAATAATAAAGACTAGTAATAATTATAATCAAGAAGAAGGTAAGAAGAATAGTCAGGGAGAAGTGGGGAACCTTTGACAAGCCACTGGCTTCCTGTCCCTGCCGAGGTCACTAGAGAGATGTGGCCCTCAGGTCAAAATAAATCCAGAATACAGTATGGAATGAATACAAGATGGCTCCTTGAAACTGCATGCGACAAGGACCTGTGGAGATTTGGGGGATAGAAATAGCCTAAGCCACTTTATCCCTTTGAGATGTATTTTTTTGTCTCAATAAACGTACTTGAATGTCAAGTACGTTTATGGTCAAGCGGATTAAGGCGCCCTGTAGTTACCAGTTGCGTTGCTTCTGGGAGTATGGGTTCGAGTCACTTCTGGGGTGTGAGTTTTCATTCGCATATAGTCCTGGGGACCATTCAGGCTTGTTCGTACTTGAATGTGAATGATTTCGTGTTTAGAATCTCACACCTATTGGGTTATCTGAGGCACCTGGGAGCCACTGAAAGTACTAGTTTCCAGATACAATAACTACACTTAATTATTGTATACATATCTAATAAATCCTTTAACGTATCTGCCAGATACCTTCTTCTCTGGCACTACGCTTGCGGTAGGAGACTTCAGTGCCAGAGATTTATCTTCAGCTTCAAGTTGAAACGCAACTATTATTGACTGTAGTTGGTTCCAATTTGTACAGAACCCCGAAGAGGCT